GGGCTCCCACAGAAGGATAGATTTGATTATAAAGGAGGTTGCATTGGGGTCTGCAATGGTTGTTTTTACTACTCTAATCAAGATGAATCCGAATTGTGTATTTGGTCACTTCATGATGATGGTAAAAAAAAAATTGGATTTTGAGGCATAAAATCAGCTTCAACCTTTTTGTTGTTCCGTTCACCAAACCTTATGGTTTTCATCCAACTTGTGAAATGATTTTTCTCGGCGATCGCGAGATGGTATTCAGCTATCATCTCAAAACTAGACGATTGGAATTGCTTATTGACACAAGGGATGCCAAAAATATATTTTTGCATAGTGATCTTATCTTTACTTACTCTCATTGCCTGGTTGTTCTGAATAAATTTTGAATTCATAAGTAGCTTGTTTTCCCACATTATCTGAAACATATTTTTCTCCTTTGTTTTTCACTTGGAAAATGATTTTTATTGACCTACTACAACTAGGTTATTGTTGGAATATGTTTCAAAATATTCTTATAATATTTTGAAAATAAATAAATATATAATTTAATTTTAATTATTTTGATTCATAACCTTTGGGTAATTAATTTTATCAATGTGTTTTTGCATTTGTGTCTTTTTAATTTATTTCTATTATTATTAGTTTCTACTTTAGAGTTATTTAATTATGGTAATTTCTTGTAGAGACATGTCTTAAGTTCTAAGAAATTATAATCTTTGTCCATTAAAGAATTGGGTATGAGACTATATAAATAGACACTAGGTTATGGTAATTTCTTGTAGAGACATGTCTTGAGTTCTAAGAAATTATAATCTTTGTCTATCAAAGAATTGGGTATGAGACTATATAAATAGACACCGAGGTTATTATTGAGATATATAAGTTGAGAGAGACCATGAGGGTTGAGTTGATGGGTAGAAATGAGTGGTTGTGAGGTGTGAGGTAGAATGAACATGGATGGTGAAGTACACAAAGAACTCGATCAAGAGTTTGTGTAACATGATTTGGTGTTGGAAATTCTCTACTGTCGGACATAACCTTGATTTTGTGTGAACTACATGAATATTGTGTTTGTTGTGTGATTGCTTTATTTCTTCCATATTGTAGTGTGTTGGTAGATATACTTGATGAAAAGTTTCCTCAATAGCTAAATCTTCTAAGATTGCACTAAAGTGAATTTTGAATTCAATAATTAAATTGTATTTTTATCCTAAAAAAAAAAAAGTAATGATTTAAGTACTATTGAATATAATTTATGTGAGATGAATAATGTGTCCTATCACATGATGTCATGATGACATCATGTGATGGGGCCACCACCACACTCACATAAAACAAATTTATTTATTTATTTATTTATTTATTTATTTTTTTATCACATAAAACAAATTCAATAACTATAGAATTCGATCCTTACATCATTATTATAATAAAAAAAAGTGGAGTTATTGTGCGGAATAACTAGGGTCTAAGCTAATTATTGGATTGAATTATAAAAAATTTAATAACTGTAAAACCGAACTGAGTCGTTCTCTCACGATTCGGTTTGGTTTGATTCGGTTGGTTACACAATTCGGTTTGATTCTAATTTTTGTGAAATCACTAGAACTAGTTTGATTTCAAAACATCCCTAAATCAGTCAAATCGATTTATATTGTTCATGATGGAATATATATTATAATAAATATATCAATATATATATATATATATATATATATATATATATTATATTGTTCACAATGGAATAAAAATATCAAAATATATTATGATAAATATATCAAAATCAAAGTTTGAAATTTGATTTCCAAAATGATTTTAGATAGAGGGTGGGACATAGAGGGGTTAGGATGGCCAATTAAGGGGATAGACCACGCCAAACTCAACTCAAAGTTTTAATATTTTTAACTTGCGCCAAATTCAAGTTTTGATAAACTCAAAAGGAGTTTAAATCCATAACCAAAGTACCTCCTCGAGTGTCAATCTATAAACCAAATTGGCTAATTGCTTTTTGGACTAAGGGTTAAAAAAAATTTAGGGTGTAAAACTTTCTGTCTTACAAAAATTATCTAATAAAATACAACTCTCAAATATAAACATAATTAAAATAGAATTTGGAGAAACAATTCAACTCTCAGATATAAACATAATTAAAATATAATTTAGAGAGACAATTCACAAAACAAAATTCACAGTACAACTTATAAAAAGTATAACATAATTAGAAAAGAATTTGGAGAGACAGTTCGCAGTGGGATTGGTTTCTCTTAATAAAATACAACTCTCAAATATAAACATAATTAGAATAGAATTTGGAGGTACAATTCACAAAACAAAATTCACAATGGTATTGGTTTCTTGGAGGGAAATATTTTTGATTTATTCAATCAACTTCCTCAAGGACCACAATTTGGGTAACTGATTCGTTCTCTCACAATTTGGTTTGATTTGATTGGTTACACAGTCCGATTTGATTCCAATTTTTGTGAAACCCAATAGAACTAGTTTAGTTTCAAAATATCCCTAAATTGATCAAATCCAGCTTATGAGCACTCTACATAATTTATATATATATATATATATATATCAATCAGAAAGGCTCTCACGCGGTCCAAAATAACGGACTTTTCAACTGACCAAAACTCAATTAGTCAATTACACTTTATTACTTTATCAAACTTAACCATAGTTAAAACTCTATCAGATTTAACCATAATTAATAATGTTAACTTTAGTAGTCAATTTAACATAATTAGCCAATGCCTTTATTCAATCTCTCTCCTCCTTAATTTCTTCCATCTTCCTTGTAATCTCAATCATTACTGTCATATCCACACCATCACAGCCACCATCTTCACCACTACAGCCACAACACAACTACCATATTCATTCTCCAAAATCATATTCCAAGGCTACCAGGTCACTCTCTCTTTTTTAATTAGCACTTTGATTTATTTATTTATTTATTTTTATTTTTTTGCTCTCTTAATTTTTTTCACTTGATGGCTTGACTGTTGCTCTCTTATTGATTAGATTCAAGTGCGTATCTAAAGCTTGGCGCATTCTGATTTCTAACGTTTGTGTTCTAAAAATCTCTACGTCCATGCCTCTATCTGCCTTTCTTTTCGGAGGAACCAACGTTCTCGGTTCCAATTCCGATTGTTTTATGTATTATTCTCCATACAAACCATACCCTCCTCGTCACAACAATGATGTTGTTGGATTTGTGGAGTCGCATTCAACTCTATTGCCGTTCTAACATTCTCCGTTTGTGGAGTAGTATTCAGCTTTATTGCCCACTCATGAAAAATATACCTTACATAATTCAAAAGTCAATCTTTTACCAACAGGCCGGTGCCTTAACGGTATCAAGCTCCTACTATTCAAAGGAATGTCAGAGGTTCAAGTTTCAATGGAGACATGTGTGTATGAGCTATATCACATAAAGTGGGAGCGAGAGAGGCAAAATTATGCCATAAATAGTGAATTTGAGTGAGAATGTGCGCGGAGCGTAAGAGCGACACCAATTGAAAAGAATTGTGTGACTTAGTGTATGAGTACCAACTACGAAAAAAAAATAAAAAAAATTCAACCTTCTTCTTCTTTTTCATTATTCAAAATTCAGCCTATGATATCATTAATACAATTTATTATTATTATTATTATTGAGTTTAGAAAATAATTTGAAAAATATTACTTGCCAGCAAGCATAGTTTTTATTGTCTTTCTACAAGACTTCTAGACCAAAGGCGAATTAGATTTCTCCATTGGGTAAAAGAAATTTTATTCCAAATGGAAAGAGTTGCCGGCATGAAGAAATATGTTATTACTTGAAGAAAACTAAAACTGGGAGAGAAGAAGAGAAGATTGAGAAAACTCTTGGGAAGATATTTCTCTCTTTTTGTTTAGCTTAATAGAAAAGATTATTAGGGTGCGTTTGGATACATAGGAGAGAAAAAAAATGAAATGATAATATTAGTTAGAAGATATAATAGAGGGAAGACAAAGAATAATAATTAAATTACTATCATGTCCTTTAAAATAGATAGGATATGATTGAAATAATAATTTTCTTTTTTTAATTGTTAAGAGCAATTTCAAAATTATGAAAATACCATTAAACACTATTCTCTCTCTTCCTATCCTTTCAAAAGAGAGAATAAGATAATATTTTATTTTATTTATTAGAAAAGAAGAGAATACAAGTACTAATTATAAGGAGAGTTTTGTAATTTAAAATATTTTACAATTTTATTTGTTTCTCTTTCCCCATATTTAGAGGGATAAAAATTTGTGAAAAATAACTTTTTCATTCTCTTTTTACTTCACTTCTTGCCTCCCAGAAAGTTTATGCATTATAAATCTATAGGATATTGCATTTTATCCATCATTTTTATTGATGAAAGAAACATATCTAAATATAGTATAATTTTTTTTTGGGTTGTATTTCAAAAAAAAAAAAAAAAAAAAAAAATTCCAAAAATGTCAAAATTACCTTGACACCCAAAATCGAATTCCTGAAAGAATTAAATTTCCAGAAACAAAAAATGTCTACTAGTTTGGTTTTCTTTTTCCAGGTGGCTAGCCGGTCCTGTCCCTTTCTCAGTTTCTCTCAACTCAGTGCCTGTGAGAGATACAATTCATTCCGCTTCCGGTAATAATTATGTATGTGCATATGGCAGATCAATATTTATGTGAAGGCTCTCAGATCTATCTATGTCTAATAGTGGTAGCCGTTGTGATGAAGAAAAAGTAGAAGAAGAGGCAGAGAGAGCCTGTTCGTTCAATACTGCCCCAATCTACCCAACGATGTTATAGTGGAGATCCTTGGTCGATTGCCGGAGAAACTTCTAATCAGATTCAAGGGCGTCTCTAAGGATTGGTACTTTTTGATTTCTAAAGTTTGTATTCCTAAAATCTCTCCGTAGATGCCTCTCTCTGGCTTAATCTTCAAAGGATCCGACGTTTTGGAATCCGATTCCGATTTTATGCAATCTTTTGATTAGAAATGTTTTATGCATTATTCTGATTGGAATCGTTTTACGCCTCCATACCCTCATACTCATGATGGTGTTGGGTTTGTGGAGTCATATTCAGCTCTATTGCCGCTCAAGCCTACTCCGTTAGATCTTCACGATTGCTGTAACGGGCTGTTACTATTTGGCCCGAGTCCCTCTGTTCGTCCTGCAGAGTACTACGTCTGTAATCCGGCGACGAAACAGTGTGTGGCGATTCCGACAAACCCGACCCACCTAGAACCCATGTTTGCTGCTCTGGCTTTTAATCCAACGGAGTCCTTGAACTATAAGATCGTTCGGTTTGCTCAAACGGCTCTCTCTGCATCCATCTCTAACCCCCTAAAGCTGGATATTTTCTCGTCGGATACAGGCAAATGGGTCACCCACGTCGTGCCACTTGACCCTGCAGTTTATGGTTTAAAGTGGATTAAGCATTGTGTTTATTTCAATGGAGTGTTATACATGTTGTCTTGGGCGAGCTATCTTATAGCTTTCGACATCAACATCAAAACAGGAGGGAATATAAGTGGGCGGGCTATTGAGCTACCAGAGAAGGGTAGGTTTGATTATAGAGGTTCCATTGGGATATCCAAGGATTGTTTTTACTACTCTAACCATGATGGATCCGAATGGTGTATTTGGTCACTTGATCATGGTGAAAAATGGAATTTGAGGCATAAAATTCCCTTCCAACACTTTGCTGTTGCTCGGCATCCAGTTGGTAAATTACTGTACCAGAATCGTCTAGGTACCAGACCCTGTGGTTTTCATCCCACTTCTGAAATCATTTTTATTGCCACACCCAAATTTGGTGCTTTTTGATCCCCAGTTGCTATGGGGAACAAAGGACGAAATACAATCGATTCCTCTATTTAAGTGGTTCTCGCTTCTCCTTGAACTTGATATTCGGCTATCATCTCAAAACCAAACAATTGGATTTGCTTGTAGCCACACCCAAAATAGTTTTGACTCGAGTTGCTATCCTTACTTGCTCTCGTTGCCGGGTTGTTCTGAATGATTTTCTTCTGGAGACGACATCAATCAATCAAATTTGTAAGTAGCTTATTATATGTTCACATGTATTCTTTTCTAGAGACTTCCTACCTTATCCTTGTCAATGTGGTCTAGCCACAAGGGCCAAGTCAAACAGTTAACACTTTGACAAAGTCCACCTCAGCAAGGCATGTGATAGTCGATCATTGGGCCTCAATCTTAGTCTACATTCGGCCGATGGGCCTTGAATCTGATAGTCACAAATCACATCATAACCTCGATCCAAGTTGTTGTCAATCGACAGGGCCTTGAACCTCAATCTGACCTTTTGACAATCTGTCGGTCGATGGTCCTTGAACCTCGATCTGTTAATCACAAATCATCGATCAACGGGCCTTGAACCTTGATCCGTCACAAATTGTCGATCGACGGGCCTTGAACCTCGATTTGACCCTTGACGATCTGTCGATCGACGGGCCTTGAACCTCAATTCGACCTTCATAATTTGTCGATCCACGGGTCTTGAACCTCGATCTGACCTTCACAATCTGTCGATCGACGGGCCTCGAACCTCGATCTGACCTTCACAATCTGTCGATCGACGGGCCTCGAACCTCGATCCGACTTTCACAATTTGTCAATCGACGGGCCTTGAACCTCGATTTGACACTGCCATGAATCATCGATCGGTGGGCGTCGAACCTCGATCCAAGCAATGAAGAGTTATGGTAGGGCTCTTCAAGCAACATTGGGACGCAGAAGGGATTTTGGAATGGAAGATGGAAAATTAGTAATGTCTTGTCTACTAAGGCAAGACCCAGTCTAAAAATAAAAGCAAAAGACAGCTGGAATAGTACAATTGCCTTTACAGCCTGCCATTTCTTGGATTATTCACCAGGAAAGTTACACTTGGCAGTGGATCCAAAAATGTAGGGATTAGGGCAACATGACCCAAAAAGAGAATGACCCTGACCCATTCCCAACATGGAGGCCTAACGATGTACCACCTGGTTGACCTAAGGCTATAAAAAGAAGGCAATGACGAAAAAAGGAGGTAGGAACTGACGGCAGCTTCTTCCCTACCATTGCTCCAATTCTCTGACTGGACTGGTTTTCTCTCCCTTCTTCCACCTTTCTGCATTCCTCATATTGCTTTGTGATATATTCCCAGACCTCTTTTCTTTGACTATTCAACCGACGAGAACCAGGTATCTACAATCCTTTTCATAGAAGGGGAGAGAGAGTCTTCTAAGCATGGAACTTTCGCCATTTGGTTTATGTATAGAGCAATTTAATTTGTAGATGGTAAGGGGCTTTTTTTTTCATGTTACGCTGATTGGGTATCCCTCCTGACCATTCAGAACTTGCAGAGCAGCAATGGAGCTCTCTAATCAATACAGGGAGTATTTAGACTGTATTAGGGAAATGAAGTAGTTTTAACTTTTAACAATACAAAGATGACTTTTTTCCCTTGTTAATTTTGGGCCACACTTCAATGGAGTATTATACATCTTTGTTCTGAATAAATTTTCAATTCATAAAGGTTATTTCCCTATATTGTCTGAAACATTTTTCCCCTTTTGTTTTTCACTTTTTCTCCATTCTGAAAATTTTGAATGTAGATGTAGAGAAGTTTGTGATACTTGGACAATAGGTGTTATAGTTTGACAACTCACTCAAATTTAGCAATGTTTTATATGTATGTCCATGTCAATTTACTTCCATGTTGTATATGTCATAATTTTTTGGTCTCTATGAAAATAGTTTTTATTGTCTTGGGTTGCATAAGGTTTTGCAACTGGATACATGAAATAGAGAAGCGTTTTTGGAGTATTTTCTCCCTAACTGTAAATTACTTTGATTTCTCCTGAGTTTCTCTAGCTTATCACCCTCAAAAGAAACTTTTACTAAATAACTATCATACCAGAGTTAGTAACCTTAATCCTCTAAAACATCAATTGGCTTTTAACTACTTTACTCTAAATGTTATATGCTTAGATTGAATTAATAAAGCAAATATCGATTGCCTTCTTTTCCTCTCCTCCTCCTCACTTTTACCCCCAAAAACCTGAACTAGGTTTTAGTTCACAATATATGGACCATCACTTTGGATAACAGTGAGAATTTAAATCATCTCAAACCTGATAGCCGGAGGACAATGTCATCGCCATTCTGTCCCAGTTGATTGATACTTAAGGAAGCAACAAGTGCTGGTGTCATGTCATGCAGTTGGCGATATACAATTGGTAGTCTCAATTTTTATTCAAGATATTATGAGCTCTTGTCGATGGTAATGTATCACTTAAATTTGAAGAGTATACCTGTGTAAATTACGTGAATGAATCCTTGAAATTGCATTAGGGGTCCTCTATGGACAAATTTAGAACATGTTTTCATATACTTAAGCATTATCCTCGTGATATTGATGACTGAATTAAGTTTACTACGGGGAAGGGGAGTTCAAAGGGTTGAATTAGACTTGTCATTCGCCGTTGGATTGGGGGAGATTGTAATTTTTGATCTTTCAAGCATGGAAAAGTTCTCATTGAGTTATACATCGAGAGAGAGGTTATGGTGGAAAAGTTGATATCGAGTTAGAAGCTGAAGCATTTGTCAAGCTTATTGGATCTCTGGTTGTTAACTGATTCCTTCCAAGTATCTTTAGGTTTTCTGTACAGTTTTGGGGGGATAATTATTTATATTCTTGATTTGTTGGCTCACTCTTGTATACTTTGCTCTGAGATGTTTCAGCTCTCCTTTGATACCATTCTAGAAATTTATAGTGGAAAATGAACAATTTGACTTGTGGACTCTCTCTCACTCATTCCCTACAACAAAAAGAAATTCAGAAGAATATCACTGAAGCGATGGATCAACTTAAAGCAAAAATTTTGTGTTCTTTAATCCATACTTTATAATATATTAAGAAATCCTCCATTTAATATTTAGTTTGTGTAAATATGGAAAACATAATTAGGAAATGAAGAGGTACGTTCTAAGAATATAAAGCTGACTTTTTCCTTTGTTAAATTTTTTGTGAGGTATACACTGGTCTATTAAGCCAGAACACAAGGAACAAGGCTGAAACATTTGTCAATTGAAAAGCCTTCTTTTAGCTGGAACTCAAAGGTTAGTGGTTTAAGAAGATCCTTTTGTTATCTTCTATTCATTCTTTCCACGTAGTGGATTGTTTAGCATGGTTAGCATATTGCTCTCGCCCAATTCAATTCTAGTATGGGCAAGACTTGAAGAGATGAATGCTTGTGGAATTGCAGTGTCTTGGTGGTCATTTGGGTTGGTTGGACAAAGAAAAAGTTTGGAACCAGTGTTAGACTGAAGTTATGGGGCTTGGTTTGTTTGTAGGAGCTTGATTCTTGGCATTGATTTGGGTGTCAATGTTAACATTGAAAGGAAATGCCCTCGTTTTTTATTTATAGATTATGCCACCTCAACCTTTGGAACACCCCTAAATAAAACTCAATCATTTACTACTTAAAATCCTCTGCAGAATTTTGTGAAGTTATATGTTAATAGTTGCTCGCTTGGTAACCTGAGAGGCATATTTTGGGGATCTTGGCGATTAGAATATTCTTTGTTTTTTGAAGCCTGTTGAGCAGGGCAACATGGTGAAAATAGAGGTTTGAGAAAGCTTATTATTATCTTGGGTGTAGGCATATTTTAGTGTAGAGTGATGCCAAATATATTATTCTTTGGGCTAGGATTAAGAAAAAGTGTCAAAATCTGATTGTCTTTTGACTAAAATTTGTGAATTGTAGCTTATAACAAAAAAGAAAATGGTAACTATATTTTATTTCTTCTGAAATCATACATCGGGGAGAGAGAGCTGATATTTTGACTATGATCAACTATGAGGATCATTTTTTAAAAATGAGATGAGGTTTTTCTTCTTCTAATATATCTTCTAATGTTGCTTCCTCTAAGAAAATAACAAAAAGTAAAATCATATGAAAGGCCAATACAAGTATTTTATGTTGGCAATGCTTGCTGGGAATATGTAATTTACATGAACAAGGTCCTGTGTTTCGTCCTTCTACAGAGTTAGAGAAGGTAGTATTTTTCGGTTGTTACCCTTGATGTATAGGTGAGAGGTAGTTTGAAGAATCCTCAGACAGAAAAGTGTATGTGCATTTTGTGGAGAAATAAAATGATCGACTAGGACAAGGTAAGTACGATTAGCAAACTCTCATGGCAGAAGTTTTTTGCTCTTCAAATGACGTAAAGAGTCTGGTTTTATTTTTATTTTTATTTTTTTATTTTTTTATTTTTATTTTTTTACTCTCAATGGGGAAGAGAAAGTGGTCTTATTGGTTACTTCCAAAATTTTGGTGATTTAGAGAAGAAGAGTGGGTCTCATTGCTGTTACCAAGACTAATGATGTGGTGGAGGATTTAGTTATTGCTAAAATTAGTGCAAAAGCAATTTGCTTTAGGAGAATTAGCCAAGGAATGCGCATGAAGCAGTAAGGGATGCAGGAGAGAAAGCTGCCTCACAGTGGATATTTGTGGGTGTAACCAAAGAATATATATATATATATATATATTTGTTGCAAAACTCAATAGCTACAAATACATCAAATGGGATGCAAACAACCAAGCTACAATACAGGATTTTGTCCGCTGTTCAGTGAGTTTTCTCACTCTCTGTTCAAGCTCCATCTTCTTTTCATGCTTGGATTTTTATGAGCTCTGTATTTATTATCCACCAAATTGATAACGTTACTCATGTACTAATACAAAGAAAATGCTATTTCTTTTACCCAAAAAAAATGAAGAACATGCAATTTCAATTAACATATCTCTATCACTTTGATTATCCCATCATAATTTTACATATTCAAACTCTATTTCGTCCAAATGCCATCTTAAATATATACGTTTTGTTTCACTAATCCATTAAATTATACAGTAAAAGAATTTCCGTTTTGACATCCAGAAAACCGATTGCATAATACTTGTTCTCACACATATAAGGGCTAAAAAAAAAAAAAAAAAAACATCTTTCAATTCTTTTTACCCAATAAAACTTTTTAAAATATTATAGGAAATCAACTATTATTCATTTTGCCTCTCCACTAGAGTACTAGAACAAAAGGACTTAGATTTCAAAGTTCACTATTTATTATTCTTGGCCAAGCAAAGTTCACTATTCAAAGAGTTGAAAAAGTATGAAGAGATTCCAGACCTAAACAAACTTAAAGGTTCACTATGTTTTGCACTACGTGGACCGGACTTCATTCACTTTTCATACAGAGTAGCTTCAGTCCCCGGACTCCCACTTGACGTTTGTAGTAGTGCAGGCCGTTATCATTCCTTGATTTTGGGTTAGGAACAGATCTATGGAAATGTGTTGATAACATAAGGAATATGGTTCCGTCAAAATCTACGAGATTCCCTCAATGTCGACAGGGGTAAGATCAGCACGAGGCACCCATTTTCCAAAGTCATTCCATCAATGAAAATCTTTTTCCGAACTCAATTCAGGGTGGCCGATATATATATATAAGAAAAGCAAATTCAATCTTGAATAAATTTAAGATAAATTTTGTAAATTTTTTGTGGTATAGTCAAATTATTTGAGGGGACTTTGAGAGTTTTAAACCAAACTGATTGAGATGATCCCCAACCTGTCGCAATTAAAATATATAAAACGTATTTTTAATCAATTTCTTATCATATTAAGAATCTAAATACCATCATTTTGTTATACAACACATCAAAAAACAATCTCTTATTATCACTCAATAAATTTGGAAATTTCTTTTAATAATTATATTATGTTATTTTTGTTGAAAAAGTTACCATGTTAATGTTAATATAATTTTTGGTAATATAACTTCCAAATATAAATCTACTATAATTATATTTCTCAAATTGAAACCCTAGGATAGAAATTTGAGACACAACTCTAAACCCCCAAAAGAAAATTTCGGAGTGCGATTGGTTTCTTCTCCTGCGGCTAGGCTCTCTCCTGTCTTCCCAGTTTCAGTAATAGTATTTGTTAGTGTTTGCACATGGGAAATCAATTGTCAGAGTGTCGTCGAGACCTCTCAGAGATATTTAGATCATTATTAAGCAGCGTTAATGGTGGTAGCAGTTGCTCTTGTGACAGAGAAGAAGAGACAGAGAGTCCCTGTTCCTTCAAACCTTGGCCCTATCTACCCAGAGATCTGATAATAGAGATCCTTTGTCGATTGCCGGAGAAACCTCTAATTAGATTCAAGTGCGTGTCTAAAGATTGGAATTTTTTTATTTCTAATGTTTGTGTTCCCAAAATCTCCCAGTCGATGCCTCTTTCCGGCATTTTCTTCCACAAAGCAACGTCGTTTACTATTTTGGATACGATTATGCTCCATATCCTCCTAATTTGAGGTCTTGTTCAGCTCAATTTCACTTCCATCGCACTCTGTATGATCTTTCAACTCTATTTCACTTTTGATCACACTCTGTATGATCTCGAGGATATCTGTAATGGGCTGTCACTGTTACTCCTGAGGTCCTCTCTTCCTTTTGAAGAGTACTACGTGTGTAATCCGGTGACGAAACAGCGTGTGGCGATTCCGAAGAACCCGACCCACCTGAAACTGGACCCCTGGTCTATTTCGCTGGCTTTTAACCCAAGTGAGTCCTTCAACTATAACATCGTTGGGGTTGCTCAATCGGCTCTCTATGCATCCATCTCCGAACCTCCAAAGCTGGATGTTTTCTTGTCGGACACGGGCGAATGGGTCACCCACGCCGTGCCACTCGACCCTGCGGTTTATGGTTTCAAGTGGATCAAGCGTGGTGTTTACTTCAATGGAGTGTTACACGTTTTGTCTTCTGCGGGTACCTTGTATTCTTCGACATCAAAATGGGGAATAATGTGAGTGGTCGGGTTATTGAGCTCCCTGACAAGGATAGATTTAGTGATTATAATGGTTGCATTGGCGAATCCAGAGGTTGTTTTTACTACTCTAATCATGATGGAACAGAATTGTGTATTTGGTCACTCGGTGGTGGTGGTGGTGGTGGTGGTGGTGGGGAATGGATTTTGAGGCATAAGATCAGCCTCGATAATATACTGTACGAGGAGCGTCGTCTAGTGCCGCATGCCAAACTCTCTGGTTTTCACCCTACTTGTGAAATGGTTTTTTTTATGGAGCCCAAGATGATATTTAGCTATCATCTCCAAACCAAACGAATGGAATTGCTATTGGACATGAGGAATGCTGAAGATGTATTTTTGACTCTGGGTGTTATCTTTACTTACTCTCATTGCTTGGTGGGTCTGAATAAGTTTTCAAATCGTAGGTACCGTACTTCGCCACTGAAACATGTTTTAGAAAATTCCTTCTTTAGATTTCAATGACAATCAAGTCCGATAAATAAGTCCAATTTTTACCAATTTTTTCCATCAAAATTATTTTCAAATGCCTTATTTGCCCTTTCATTACCCTTCATCTTCAACCACGCCCATACACCACCATTCACCCTAACCCAGTTAAAAAAACCATCATTGAAGATTGTGGTGAAGAAATGAGAACTGCGGTAAATCATCATTGAAGATTGCGGTGAAGAAATGAGCAAGGGGAACTGCGGTAAATGGGTTTGGATTTTTTTTCAAAAAAACTGGGTTTGGGTGAATGGTGGAGTTTGAGTATGGTTGAAGATGAAGGGAAATAAAAAGGGCAAATAAGGTATTCTATTTTGTAAAGAACTTTGATGGAAATAATTTGAAACAGTTGTCATTGAAACCTAAAAGTAGGACTATCAAAGAATTTTCTAACATTTTTCTCTTTTGTTTTCCACTTTTTCTCCTTATGAACATTTTTATGATCCTTGGACAACATGCGCTACAAATTGATAAATCACTCAAATCTAGCAATGTTTTATAACTATGTCAATTGCCCATGTCAATTTACTTCCATGGTATTATATATGTATTAATTTTTAGGGTAAATAGCAATAAACACCCCTATACTACTCTCTCTATATCAAGAAACCCCCCTGAACTAATTAGTACCCCCTAAACTATTTAAAAAATACAATTTAAGGACAAAATTCAAATTCATGGGCACCGGAGCTCGTCGGAAATATTAGATTACAAAATTGCCCTTATTATTTCAGGGCCAAACACCACCTTACGGTCCACATTTTATTTTAGTGCCAAATACCAACCAGACCACTACCCAATTAACTAAAAATCTATCCAAGAAACCACAGCTCCTTCAGCCATTGAGTTCATCCATATTGATGATAAGAAAAACCAAAATTAAAACATATTTATTATCTTATTTTTCAACTTACCACATCTTAATCATATTTTATCTCACCATTATTGGACACTTTTGCAATATTGCAATATTTGCAATATTTTATCTCATATTTTATCTCACATGTGATCAAGAGAGAGATGCGTTGATAAATTTATTTGTCTGCTTAATTGGAATCGGAATCTTCGGTATCTATCTATTATCTTTGTAAATATATATATAAATATAGTGCTTATCTTCATTTTATTAAAAGGAACAAATGTATGTGTTTGGATGAAATTAGAAAAACAGAGTTCTTGGCACACTAACATTTGAAGTCATTTTTTTTGGCAACGGCTGTTAGCCCAAATCAATCACCAAAAATGGTTGGGTGTTATTTATTCCGTCTGATCTTAATATCTTAGAGGACTTGGACTGAAAATGAAAGGCGCAGGATACAAGGACACTCCTGCACTTGCCTTTTTGCATTGGCTGAACATCTATTATCTGCCAAATTGTCACCAATGTTTTTTACAAAGGTTACTATATTGTTAATCACCAACATCCCCATCTTCATCCTTATCAATAACATTCATGCAAGCCTATCCACATACGTATACCGACCCACCAACACCCACCATCCGACGACCACCACCACCCACCGATAACCAGCTGCAAACCCATCTCCTATGGTGATCCATACACAGACAACCACAGCAGGCGGTGGCGTCGCCACCACCCCCATCACCGCCGACCACCAACCAGCACTGTATGGATTATTTACCTTGGTCCCTAAGAACCCAAAACCAAATCAAATACAAATGTAATTGAAATTCATGTATTTTGCATACTGTATGTAATCTCTTCTAGATATATTCATAGCTTACCTGGGTTTCGGGATTACTTACTCTATCTAAAAATCAGTAGCAGAAACAGAGATTCAAATACTTATTTGGCTTTGATATTTTGATGTTTGGCTTATGAGGTACTATTTGGAAATTAAGTTGATTAAATATAAGGAAAGTGAGTAGAGAGAGAGAGAGAGAGTGGTGAGTTTCGTCTGTGATTGTTGAAAAGTTGCAGAGCATAGAAAGAGATTGCAATTTGAAGAGCATGGAGAGAGAGTGGAGTTGGGGGTTGATGGTTCGATTTGGGCCAATTAGAAAGGGTAGGTTTGTCATTTTCAATTTATAGCATAGGTCAGGTGACTACTTTACGGTAAAAAACTAACGGAATAGTGTCATCTGGTTTTTTTTGGAAAAATTTGGATAGTATAGGGAGTTTTCTGTTAAAAAAATAGTTTGAGGGGATTTTTTGGAAGAGAGAGTAAAGTATAAGGGGGTTTATTGCACTTTACCCTAATTTTTATAAACATGAAATAGAGGTGTGTTTTTGCCTTTTTGGAGTTTTTTTTCTCTACCGTAAATTAGTTTGACTTCTCGCGAGTTTTTAGCTTATAACCATCAAAAGAAACTTTTGCTAATTAAACTATCACACCAGAGTTAGTATAAACCTAATTTTCCTGGAATTGATTATCATTATAAAGAGAATATCATTCATATTTTAGATTTCATAATAAATAAATAGATGGTTAGAATGGAAATTCTTTTAATAAAGTATAATTAGGAATGTGTCTATCTATCATTACTATGAGAGAATAATGACTCTACGTTAATGGACACTGCATGATTGGACTTGCACAAAAAAAAAATTTAGATTACAACATGAGTGAGTAGGTGGCTCAACTGGAGCTATAAAATTCTTAACCATAATCTAAACCAATCCAATCCAACTTGACAATTAACTCGAGGTAATAGAACCGAGCCTAATTATTCTTAAGTTTTTAAGTCCCTGATGAATTTTGGACATTCAATTGAGGCTGACATTTCGAGTTTCGAGTTGACGCACTTGATCCGAACCGGACCTGAAAAGAAACCAGCTTGTTAATTTTCAATCTAGGCTAGATCAAATTGCAATGTAAACCGCTCAAGTCCGAAATTTATTTGATTGGCATCGGGTTGAGTCTGGAAATGGAGCCCTTAAAAAAAAAAAAAATGTGTGTCAATTATACTAATTATACTCTTTTTTTTTTTTTCTTTATTTCTTTTTTTTTTTCTTTATGGCAAACAAAGAGCAAGAAACACAACTAACAATCTTTCGCTGCTGGTTCCAAGATATCAGCTGGGATATGAATGAGATCAATATGACTTGAAATATGAGGCCGAGAAAGCTTAGCAAGCGCATGGGTGACTCCATTGCTATGCCGACGGACATGACTAAGACAAGAACAAGAGAACCGCTCCGAAAGCACTTACACATCAAAAGAAACTGAATGAATCTCCACTGGACCGGCATTCATGCCATGAATTGTCTGAACCACCACCAGCGAGTCACAGTCAAACCATACCTGGTCATAACACAGAGACATGGCCCAAAGAGTAGCGTTGCGAAGAGTCATAGCTTCAGCTTGACGAGCAATAGATGAAATGAAAGGGGAAAAAACCACTTCCTTCCCCCCCCCCCCCCCAGTCGATAAAGAAAACAATGTATCCACGTTACATTTGACCATATCCATAGTCGGGGGGACCACTTGACAGGGGAAGGAGAAACAGAGAAGGAAGGCACATCTCCTTTGGACAGAGGCAGCGAAGAATGACCCTTAAAAGCATCGGAATCCTTGAACTCCCAAAACTGAGTCGAAACCCATGAAACAATACTCAACGGAGTTATCATTTCTTTTTCAAAAATCAACCTATTCTGTGCTTTCTAAATTCCCCAACAACAAAAAGCGATCCATGAAATACCCCGATATTTTAAAGGAATTATTAATGAAAATTAATTACTTTTATTTTATTTTAAATGATTTATTTGATTTAATTTGAATTAATTGTATTTATTTTATTTTTATTTTTTTTATTTGTTTTAATTGAGTGCTTAGATTAATTGATTTAGTTTAATTAGATTATATTTTGTGATTTCAGTTATTGAATTTATATGGTGTTTTGTTTTGTGAAATGATGTGATTGAATTATTTGTTTGAATTGTGTGTATTTATGCTTGTGTGAATTGTTTGTTAATTATTTGTAATTATTAGATTTAATTTAATTAAGTTAATTATTTTATTTTAATTGAATTGGGTTTAAGGGAAGTTGGACTAAAGGATGTGGTCTTGGGCTTGAAGAAAATCTTATTGGGTTAAATAATAAAGGCCCATAGTTATTTGATTACTAGAATGATCATTTTTGTATCCTTATAAATATATGTATTTAATTATATATAAATATACTTAATTAATAAATGTTATGGAAGGATGTATATATAGATATATATTTATGGATATATATATATAATATATGATTTAATTAACCATTGTTAATTATGGAAGATATATATATATATATATATAGATATATATATATATATATAATATAATATATGTTTATATATATTATACTATTTAAAGATAATAATTATTATTTTATTTGGTAATCCTAGTAAGAATAGGATTAAAGGAATTAATGTGTATAAATATACACATAAGGTTTAGGGTTAAAAAGTTTACACGTTAGAAAATAAGGGAGGCAGAGAGAGAAAGAGAAGAAGGGCTGACAAGGAGGAGACCGGATCTGAGAAGGAAGACGTTTGGATTGGAAGACTTAAAGCGTCGGTTTCGTTTCGAAACCTTCAGGCAAGTTTTTCTAACTCTCCTCTTAGAACTCATAAGTTTATCACCTTGAGTATGAATGTTAAGATTAAATTTATTTATTTAAAAATCATTGTTGGATTGGATTAATTAAAAGTATAAAATATTATATTTGCTTTTTTGGATTATTAGATTTTAATTAATAAATATAGGTGTTGTATATATATTTTAAAATCAATCTATAGGTGAATTTATGATCCAAGAGGGTTTATTAGGGTTTCTTTATTTTCTGGGATTTATCTGGAATATTCTGGAATTTTTCTAGATTTTTAGAATTATTTTAGAATGTGTTTTGTATTTTTCCGGAATATTCTGGAATTTATTTTAATTTTTTTATATATATTTTTTTTATGCATTGTTACGTAACTGCTAATGGCGCATCAACTGGGGTGTTATCCGGTGTCCTCACGTACATAGAAAGTTAGAACAACCGCAGATCTAGGCCATACAATTAGTTTGATATAATTGAAATAATCCAGTGTGGTAGAGATACATGGAGATTCAATGCACCATTAATCTAGGCCCTTGGATCGATCTCATCAACAAAGAAGAGTTCCGGTGCATCGCGGCGCATGGAGCTCTATGTGTGTGTGAATCTGGACCGTTGACTTGGTCCAGTCAACATACAAATAATCCAGTGTGACGCAGCTCACTAAAGCCCAGAGTTCTAGCCAACCAAAAGCAGCCACGTCATCCAGAATGAAGAACAGGCGCGTGTACCGCGCGTGGAAGCGCGTGAAGATACCTGCCAGCTTGTGGTGGCGCGTGGATGCACGTGTAATGTGTTTAGGCGCGTGTGGTGGCGCGTGGGGGCGGGTGGAGAGGCGTGTGGGGTCTTGGAAAGTTCCAATGGGGTCCAGTGATGCCTAAGAATTGACTTTAAACTCATTAGGGTCGAAAGCGAACACTATAAGAGAGATTACTAGGGCTTTGAGAGTTGGGGAGTGTTACTACTATATTTAGTAGCATATATTGGAGTAATATAATTAATTAATAATTTATTACGGAAGGAAGTATATATATATATATTGATATATGTGTGTGTGTATATATATATATATATATTTATTGATATATATGTATGTATGTGATTTAAATAATCAAATATTGTTGTGGATGGTGTTACATATGTATATTATACAATATATATATATATGTATATGTATCATGTAAGATTATTATTCTTATTTGGTATAATGTTACAGTTGATTAAATCATATTAGGTTGGTTATTAAATTAATATTATGCGTATGATATGCGTGGGATGTCTATCATCGTTAAGTTTAAAATCGGTACATGATTAAATTGTAGGCATGGATAAGTTGCCATAGGCGTAAATATTTTGCCTAAGTATTTGTATGAATGAAATACATACACAAAAGGCATGGTTGAATTGTTAATTTAAAAGTATAAATATATATACTTAAAGGAGGCATGGTTGAGTTGCCAAGGTATAAATAAATATATTTATAATGGCATGGTTGATTTGCCAAATGTGTAAATAAATATACTTATGGAGGCATGGTTGATTTGCCAATATATAAATAAACATACTTAAGGAGGCATGGATGAATTGCCAATATATAAACAAATATATTTATAATGGCATGGTTGATTTGTCAAAGTTTAATTATATTGTTGTGTGTTAGATGATTAAAATATATCATCTATAATTACTGTTTGTGTAAGTTGGATTAGGATTAGATATTCTTAAAGTAGAATAATCTAATACTTACAGGTTAGTGTATTATTTTATACAAATTAAAAAAATAATACTGGTAGTGACATGGATGATTTGTCAAAGTCTAGATATTGACCATGTGATTTAAATACTTATGATCATTATTGGTTTTGGAATTGGATATAATGTTCTTTTAATTATACTTTATGGTTTAAATTATTAAATTGCTGTCTAGGATGGAGTTAAGGTTAGAGGAGTTTCTTTAAAAGAAATTGTGGATGGGACCAGGTATGATTATTAATTAATCATTGATAATGGTTTTGGAATTAATGAACTTGGTAATAGTTGTGATAGTTATATTGTATATAATTATGTACATTGAAGATAAAGACTGTATTAGGTTTGTTTTGATCAGAGATGATCTATTTATTGGTTTTCAGAGGTCTGGTAGAAAGAACTTGCTCGTAGGGTTTAACCCGCGATTTATTTTTCAGGTTATTAGAAGTTCAAGTCTCAAGGTTGAGGATCCGCAGCTGGAGGACTTATCTATTCTTTCTATTTTATTTCAAAGTAGGATAGTATTACTTTAGTAATTATGAATGAATTTATGGATAGTGGATTTTGGTTAAGGGGTCCTTGAGTTACGGATTCCCGAGTTGTAACCATTGACAAGTTATTAATGGAAGTTTTATTTATTAGTTTTCTTCAGTGTATTATTTATTCTTTTTATTTCTTTTTGTACTCTGTGCTTGTTTAAATACTTTAATTGTTTTGATATCCACTGATTTTGTGCGCGGACTTGATCAACCCGTGTTCCGAAATTAGGGGGTATCACAATCCACCCCAAAGAATCCTGATTAACATGCCCTGGTCCTCCAACCATCAACAATGTGAACCACCATTCCTTAAAGGAGCGTGGAGGATTAGACATAAAATCCAACCTCAGGGGCGAACTCTTCCACACAAAAGCCGATTGAGGATACTGAAAAAACAAGTGCTCAATGGTTTCCTCCCTTAGACCACACCGAGGACACCTAATTTCCACCTCCATACCATGCATTTTAAGGAGAGCACGCACTGGCAGGGCCGATTGACAACATTTCCACAGAAAATGCTAAATTTTAGTAGGGACGTGCACTTTCCATAAACGAGTCCAACCATTCAGATGGGGAAGATCAACATGCCCAGATTACATAGAACAAGGATCTTGCATGCTGGATAGGCGGTTAGCCAGACGATATGCAGAGTTAACAGAAAACCTACCCGAAGCTTCCTCCCCCCAAACCAATAAATCATCCTTAGAGCAAAAAATGAAACTACAAGCCCGAATTTGTGCTACAACAACCGGTGGGAATAAACCATGAAGCAAATCAACGTTCCAACCAGTCCCTGAGGAATTAAGAAGTTCATGCACCATAGTGGGAAAGTCCCCCAACCTCTGGACGAGGCAGAAGGCCAGAAATACCCGGTACCCACCGGTCCTGCCAAATATTAATAGAACGACCATTACCCACCACCCACCGGGCTCCAGAGCCCAAGAGAGACCGTGAAGACCAAATACCTCTCCAAGCCCATGATGGATTTGATCCCAAAGGCACATCCAAAAAGGAACAATTTCTAAAGTATTTGGCTTTGAGAGTCTTAAAAGCTAACCTCTGTTGAGTAGTTTGAAACTGCCATCCCTGCTTAGCCACTAAAGCCATATTAAATGTATCAAAATTCCGAAACCCTAAATCCCCTTCCTGCTTTGCCTTGCTCAAAACATCCCATTTAACCCAACTAATTTTTGCAGATTCCCCATCTGATCCCCACCTAAACTTCCTAATAAATTTTTGCATAGACTCACAAAGCTTCCGGGGAAGCTGAAAACAGGACATTACATATGTGGGAAGGGCATTTAAAATAGCTTTAATTAATGTTGCCTTACCCACAGGAGATAAAAGTAATACCTTCCAGTTTGCCATACGATCAGCCACACGTTCTGTGATATAGTGGAAAACATCTCATTTTGATATACCAATAAGAGCTGGCATTCCCAGATATTTAGCACCCAATCCTTCTTCTTGAATTCCTAACATCTGAGAAATACTAAGGCGATCCTCAGCAGTGGTGTTTGTGGAAAAGAAAATCGAGGACTTAAAGAAATTAATCTGTTGACCCGAGGCTGTTTCATACTGCTGCAGTAACTTTATCAGAAATGCAATCTCAGACCTAGATGCCTGGGTGAAAACGATATAATTATCTGTAAAAAATAAATGTGAAACAGTCGGTGCCTGGGGACAAATACGGATCCCTGACAGAACACGATGCTGTAAAGCAATCTGTAAAGACATAGATAAAGCCTCAGTACACAAAATGAATAAATACGGCGATAAAGGATCCCTTTATCTGAGCCCCCTTGACGGCCGAAACATACCAACCGGTTTACTATTAATCGTAATCAAATACGATACCGTCGAGATGCACGCATGAATAAGTTGAATCCAGTGCGGATGAAAACCCAATTTCACGAGCATTGCCAACAAAAAGGGCCATTCAATTCTATCATAAGCCTTACTCATGTCCAGTTTCAAGGCCATAAAAACCTTTTTCCCTTTAGGTTTATTTTTAAGATAACGCAAAATTTCATATGTGATAAGAATACTAATTATACTAATGTATAAATATAGAGAGGAAGTTTGGTTTTCTCCTGCGGCGGCTAGGCTCTCTTTCCGCTTCTCAGTTTCTCTTAGTTCAGTCATCGGTATTAGTCTGTGCATATGGAAGACCAAAGCTTAGATTGTCGTCAAGACCTCTCAGATCGATCTATGTCATTATTAAGCAGTAATGGTGGTAACAGTTCTTGTCCTTGTGCCGAAGTTGAAGCAGAGGCAGAGAGAACCTGTGCCTTCAATTCTATCCCCGATCTACCCAAAGAATTGATAGTGGAGATCCTTTGTCGATTGCCGAAGAATTATCTAATTAGATCCAAGTGCGTCTCTAAAACTTGGTACTTCTTGATCTCTAACGTCTGTGTTCCGAAACTCTTGATTTCTAATGTTTGTGTACCGAAAATCTCTCCGTCGATGCCTCCTCCGGCTTTCTCTTACACAGATCCATTATTTGCGGTTCCGATTCTGACAAATTTACGGGATATGCTCCATACCCTCTTCCTGCTGATGGTGTTGGATGTGTGGAGTCGTATTTGGCACTATTGTCGTTCGATCACATTGGGTATGATCTTCAGGAATGCTGCAACGGGCTGTTACTATTCGCCCGAAGGTCACGCTCTATTCCTGGTCCTGTAGAGTACTACGTCTGTAATCCGGCGACGAAACAGTGTGTGGCGATTCCGATAAACCCGACCCACCTGGAACCCAAGTTTGCTGTGTTGGCTTTTGATCCAAGCGAGTCCTTGCACTATAAGATCGTTTACGTTTCTCAATCGGATCTTTTTACATGCACCTATAACCTCGCTGACCTGGATATGTTCTCGTCCGATACGGGCAAATGGGTCACCCATGCCGTGCCACTGGACCCTGCAGATGGAGGTTTCATGCGGATCAAACGTGGTGTTTACTTCAGTGGAGTGTTATACTTGTTGGCTTGGGCGGCCTACCTTGTGTCTTTCGACATCAAAATGGGGATGGAGATGGAGATGGGTAATGTGAGTAATCGGGCTATTGACCTACGTGGGAACATTAGACTTGGTCATAGAGCTTCCATTGGCGTATCTGAGGGTTGTTTTTACTACTCTAATCATGACTATAATCATGGAAAAACTTTGTGTATTTGGTCACTCAATGGTGGTGAATGGACTTTGAGGCATAGTATTGGCTTCCCACACTTTTCACCGCATGCTTTTCACCCTACGAATTCTGAAATGATTTTCCTTGGGACACCCTTTTAGATATTCAGCTGTCATCTCAAAACCAGACGATTGGAGGGATTGATTCTTACACTGAAGGATGACAAAATAATGCATTGGGATCGAAAGTGTATTACCTATTCTCGTTGCCTTGTTATTCTGAATGATTTTTTTCCGGCGATGAAATCAATCAATCCAATTTGTAAGTAGCTTATTTCGTTGTTAGAACATTTTTAACCCCACCATTATTATTATTATTATTTTGAACTTTTTCTCCATTCTGAACATTTTTAGTTTAATGGGTGGAGTAGTTTTATGATACTTGTAGAATGGACTTTTATAGTTTGAGGACTCACTTAAATTTAGCAATGTTTTATGGGTATGTCATTGTCAATTTACTTCAATAATTGCATATATGTCATAGTTTTTTGGTCTCTGTTTACCCAGATTGATAGTTTTAATGCCTTGGATTGAGCATAAGGTTTTGCTAGTGGATGCATCAAATAGAGAAGTTCTTTGGGGTGTTTTTTTTCTTTACTGTAAATTACTGACTTCTGAGTTTACAACTTATAACCCTCAAGAGGAACTTTGCTAAATAACCATCACACCAGAGTTAATGACACTAACTAATTCTCTAAAATGTCAATTTCTTACTACTTTGCCATTAAATTTATTATAATTAGGGTAAATTGCTTCCTTGTTCTCTCCTCTCTTTTCACTTTTACCCCGTAAAACCTGAACTGGGTTTTTGCTCACAATATTCGTCGGTGATGGTGACAATTAAGCCTTCTGAAACCTGATTGCTGGAGGTCCCTGTTGATACTTAAGGAAGCAACAAGTACTACTGTTGTGTCATGCAGTTGGAGATATATAATTGGTAGTCTGAATTTTTATTCATGATATTATGAGCTCTTGTCAATGGTAGTGCATCATATAAAATTTAGAATTTGTTTTCGTTTCCTTGGGCATTATCTCCATGAAATCGATGACTGGATCGATTACCTTTACTATGGAAAGGGAGTTCAAAGGGTTGTATTAGACTTTTCATTTGACATCGGATTGGAGGAGATGGTAATTTATGATTTTCCCAGCATGGAAAATTTCTTATTGGGTTATACACCGAGAAATAGCTCATGGTCGTATGAGCGTGAGAGATTATTGGGGATTTGGCAAAGCTGGCAATGATTTTGGTGACGGTGGGGTTGTATAGGAGGTGCATGGTTGTCATAGGTTAAATGGCTATTTCATAAGGATGGCCAACGGTATGGTGTGGACTTAACAATTTCGGAGAGCTTTTTCAGGAGTTGAGAAATAGACAATGTTATGGGGGAAGTTTTTTTCTTTTTCTTTTTCTTTTCTTTTTTATTTTTTATTTTTTTATTGCATTTTACACCCCTAAATTTGAACTTTTTTGTATTTATGCCCATAAAATTTTGAAATTACCTCTCCGCGAAAATTATAAATTCTATATAAATCCCCCCCCCCCATATGAATTTCTAGATCCGTCCCTGGTTGAAAATCAAAACCAACTTATTATTCATGGAGTTCTTAGTGTTTGAAAGTAAAAACACCTAAGCAAGAAAAGTAACATATGGCACATATACATTGACACGTGAAAAAGTAGGACATGAGTACGACTTAGACACGGCTAAATATAAATATAAAATTTTATTTATATACATGCATGGATTAATAGTATGCAGACAATTGCAGAATTCTTGTTTATGATAGGAATATACCAAATATTAACTCTGAAGCCAAAACTTTTTGCATTGGTGCTGAACTTATTACTTACAAGAATTGTGTCATTGACTACTAACTACTTAACTGGTATAATTTTAGCAAGCTAAGGTAAGGGATTCGTTTTTGCCTTGTGTTCTACTGTACAATTTATAAAATCGTCACAAAAATTTTAGCCAACAGGTTAAGTCCTTTGCTAAATGACTTGATAGGGCCAGAGAATAATGCGTAATTTCACCAAAGGAAGGTGCATTCAGGACACATATAATTACAGTATAGGAGCTTATTAGAGGCTTCAAGTCTAGCAGAATTCATCCATCTATGGCATTAAAATTGATCTGAAAAAAGCATGACTCAGTGTCTTGGCCTTTCTTGTTCAAAATGTTGCAGTCCTATGGCTTTGGAAAAAGAAAAAAAAAAGGGGTTAAATTTGATGACTATTCATCTATTTATTATTTTTGAATGAAAGTATGTAAAATTTAACAAAATTATTTAGGTCATTTGTTAGCAATTAAGTTTTAAATTTGATGACTATTCATCTATTGTGAATTTTGAGATTATTTTAAAATAATTTTGTTAAAATTTAATCACTAAAATCTAATTTTCTCTTTTATTTATCAAAAAAAAAAAAAATCTAATTTTCTCTTTTAATTTCCTCCTGTTCAGTTAAGATATAAATTGAAATAGTAGAATTAATTAAAGAAACATAAAAAATTAATTAGACATTTATCAACATTTTTTTTTTTTTTTTTTTTTTTTTTAAAGTTCATCTATCAACATCTTGATGTTGCCACTAATATGTCCAAAATTTAATCTACTGATAAATATAAAAATTATTTTTAACGTATATCAAATTATTAAGAATATATCATCAATGTCCACTCCACTTTCACAAACTAAAGATGCAATAAGCCCACCTAATATATATTAAGCTCCTAATTACACATGGATATAACTTTTAAAAAATTTGCACTCACCTAGTCTATCAAGTTCATTTGGTAAAACGAAATTTTGTGATGAGAAGTGAAAATAAAACAAAGTGGAGTAAAGGAAACGAAAATCTATCGTGCATTTGGTTAGCATTAAATTTTTTGAAGAAAGTTGTGAGAAAATATTATTTTGTTAATTTGGATAAGTTGACAAGAAAAAAATAAAAATAAAAAATAATTCTACTTACCAAAATATCCTTATAATTTTAAATACTAAATAAATAAATAAATTGTGTTAGACGAATATTCTTTATACTCAATTGTTTATTTTAACAATAAAATAGTAAAATATGAATTATTAAAAATAATTTGTTTTCTTGGCAAAGATTATTAAAAATAATAATATAATTATTTAATTTATATTAAATTATTTATATCTAAGACTATATGATCTACATCCAGTTTGTGAAAAGAAGAGAGATGATAGAGAAACCCGTCTTTGAGTTTCCTTTCCAAATTAAATCTCCTAAAATCTTAAGCTTCCATGCCGCATTCATATATTCTTTGGGAGCATATTTAGAGCGTATTGAGTGCATTTTAGCAATTTCCTGAAGAGTTTTGGTTTATTTCATATTCATTGTTCAGATACAGCCAAATGGGTCACCCACGTGGAGCCATTTGACTCTGCAGTTTATGGTCTCAAGTTGATCATGCGTCCGTAATATTTAATAATTGTAGAGACAGTTTTTATTAATTGAATCAACGAACTCGACGATACGGTTTTTATGTGAGAAAATTAACCTTTTAATTTGTTGTGATAAATTTATATAATTGGTTTATTTTTTATAATTTTATTGAATCATCTTCAAAAATTTGAAATATAAAAATATTAAAAATAAATAAATGAATTGTAATTTTAATGAGATATTTTCATAAATTTTTAAAAAATTAAATTACAAAATGCAAATATAAAAAATCGGATTGAAGCACCCAATCCCAATGTTGGTCCGTGTGTCTTACCCGAGTACCGAACTCTTACACATTCGAGCTGGTAGCTTGTTTTCTACTGAGACAGCCTCCCCTATTTATAGCCTTCCTATCTAATCTCTATAATTTTTACATTTTTACATAAATATCGCAGATATTTCCTAATCTTTTAACGATCTCTATACTTTATAAATATTTACTAGTTATGTGTGGAATACTCTATTCCTCTCTACACAAATATGAAATAGTCTAGAATTAATTATAATAAACTCAGTATATAGAGAGTATATTACTTATGTTGCGCAATCTCCTTGCAAATAAATAAATAGTAATAAACTCTTTATTTATAATCAACTAAATTGATGACATTAGTTACAAAGAAGATGCGATTTCAACTAACATATCACAATATTTTAGTTTTTTCAAATTGCTATCGTAGATATATTTTCATATTTTATTTATACATCTGTAACACGTTTGTATAATACATTTTCTCACACATCTAAGAAAAAAAATAAGTAACATCTTTCAATTCTTTTGGCTAATAAATTTTTTAAACTGAAGTATATATTTGTTACGATGAATATAAAATGAATCTTATGAATAGTCAAAATAAAATTGACGTTAATTATAGAAACAATGTAAGATGGGTTAAATGAACACATCTAAATATATTGTGTAATAAGCTTTATACTCTTTAGATTGAGAGGGACGTTCAATAAAATAGTTCTATAAAATAGTTATTAGGCCAGTCACACTATATCGTTCCGAATGTTAGATAGATAGGAAACATTTGCATAAAGTGTAGCATAAGTAAATGTTAAGATGGATGTGTAGTTGGACTAGAAATGATAGAATTAGAATTGATTACATTCGAGAGATGGTTGGAATAGCACCAATTAGAGATAAAATGAGATAAATATGTTAAAATAGTTTAGACATCCTCAAAGAAAACTTTTAATTGCGTCAATTAAAAAAATTGACATAGTTCACATTCACAGTACTAGTAAAAGAAAAGAGGAAGACCAAAATTTATGAGTGATTACCTTCAAAGAATTGAAAATGACTTGGTTATTGTTGTTATATTTAAGTTGCATTCTACACAAGACAGCTTGAACAAAGGACTTAGACTTCAAGGTTTAATACCAAGCCTCAAAGTCTGCCCAAAAGAATTGAAGCATGGGTTAACTTCAAACTTCAAGGTTGACTATGTTCTGCACTATTTACTTTCATCGTGAAGGATAATACTTAAATCCTCACTAATAAAAATTTACAACATACTGATTATTGATTTGAATCAATAATAAATGGATATGTCATCTTAATTACCAAATAAAGATGATGGGTAGATACTTACTTACCAAATCAGAGATCGTGATTTGATTACCATTTATGATTTGGTAATTAAAATAGGATGTGTCAATTTATTATTAGTCAATGGTCATCATGTTGTAGATCCTCATTAGTGAGGACCTAAGTATTGTCGCATTATGAATACAAAGTAGCTTCAACCAATATCTATAAAGTTATTCCGCATTTATGCAACACCTTCTAAATGTTCACCATGAATCCGATTACCAAGGGCTGCATTTGGTTTTTGTTTTAATCCGAAATAAAATAAATATTTTGTTGTATAATAAATTGAATAGTAATCAAAAGTGTGCTTATTGATGTCTATTTGTTGTAAAAAAATTTAAAGCAAAAACATAAAAATATCTTTGGTAACAAAATGTTACAAGTTTAAAAAATATAATAGTTAATTTAAAAATATCATACTAGAGTTTTTCATTTTTTTTTGGTGTTGTTCATTGTTACAGTACCGTTGTTACAATGCAAAAATATGTAAAAATACTAAATTGGGATTTCAACTTTTAATCACAATTTACTAAACATGTTGGCAATGTATAAAACAAAACATTTCTTTTTATTAAACGTGTTTTTTAATACGTTGAAACTCATGTGTAGTTACAATCAGAATTAAAACTTCCAAAATTAAGAGGGAGGTGTTACCCATAAATTACATTTTTATCAAATAGTAGTGTTCCTCTTGACTACACAGTTAAAATATCTACATCAAAAGTAATATATTATGGTGTTACACTATTGATTAAACACTTATAACGTGAACTTGTACTGGAGCATTCTAATCATATACTTGCTCTAAATATCCTACTTGTCATGATAAAAATTGCAAATAAATATCTCTATCACTAGGAGCATGCAAATTCTACAAACTTCTATTATTTATTGTGAGTTCTTCCACCGCGATCGAAATCATATCTTGTCATGCTTTCTTGCAATTCCATCATATGCCTGAAGTCATCACTATTCATGTTGATTGCAAAATTTACTTGTTTGAATTTGTTATTATTTGTTTAGTGGTAAATTTCATACCATTATATTAACCAAATTTGAGGCTTGCAAAAAAGTAAAAGAGGTTTAGAAAGGACCAAATCAAATATAATAAAATAGTTCCCATTTAAAAATAAAAGAAGAAGAAAGGTAGAGAAGAACAAATCAAAGTATAATTTTTAACAAAATCAAATCAAAGAAGGATATAAAAATAAAAATAAAAAGGAAAATAAAGGGTTTGAAATCCAATAAAGATTAAAAAATAAAATTGTGCTTTGTTTGGAACCAAATACTTTTGGGATTTGAAATTAGAATTGAAAAATGAATTAGATTGTAATTAATATAGAATTATATTTTATGTTTGAAATAAAACAGAATTTGTAAAAAAAAAATAATAATAAAATAAAAAATAAAAATTGTATAATTTTAAGATGAGACACGTGAAAATAGTTTATAAGATGAGAGACGTAAAAACGGCTTGTAAAAAGGATAAATACTAGTTAGTTATCAAATTCTAAAAATTTGCAATTTTTTTAAAATCTCACACATTTCAAACACCTGAAATTTTATTTTAAATTCAATTTCCATGAAATCTTCCCATTCCAAATAGTGTAGTGTGAAATTCTATTTTAAATTCAATTTGATGAAATCCTACCATTCCAAACAGTGTCGGGCAGATTTATTTTGTTTGGCCAACATATCTTGTATTTGCGTAATTTTTTATTTTATTTATATATATATATATATAAAGAATCAATTATTAACCTAGAAAAATGTTGTTAAATTGATTGAACAAATTATTAGACGTTTTGCCACATTCATGTGAGTTAAGTTGATTGACCAAATTGATTTAGGTAATGCTGCGATTGCTGGAGAGAGCTGTGTATGGTGCCCTCACCGGAATCAACCGCCGATGGCTGAGCACCACCGTCATGAGCTTCGGGGACGGAATCCATGGCGCGCTGGGCCTACCTACCTCCCTCACGGGCGTCGGCGGCGACGCCTACGAGCCCACACCGATCTCCGGACTCCCACCTGAGGTCTGCAGTGTCAGTGCAGGCCATTATCATTCCCTCGCCGTCACTTCTCAAGGAGAGGTCTGGGCTTGGGGCCGAAACAATGAAGCTCAGCTCGGCCGTGGTCTTCTCGCTCCAAGGTTCTTCCTCCCTCTCTCTCTCCAACATATATATATATATGTGTGCGCGCGCGCGCGTATGGTTGATAATTGATGAACTTGGAGCTAAATTCTGGTTTTGATTGTGCACTTGCGTATTTTTTTTCCTGTATTAATTTAAATTATGGGGTTCAAATTTAATAATGTTGGTAAAATGGTAAGAAAAATTGTTTGTGTAGGATAATCCATCTGGTGATTTCACTATAACTAAGCAAAAGTCCTCCGATTTGATACAAGGAATTTTGGGTTGATATTTTTTTTGCGAGTATTGCATAAAAATGAAAAATATAAACAATTAAGCCTATTTATGCCCAATAAAAGCCAATTTGTTACATATAAGGTTCATTAGTTTTCGTAGGATGACAAAATTTAGTCTATTTTAACAGTATTTTCTGATCATATAGTTTTTAGTATATTTTGTAATTACAATAAATTTGATCAGCAGACATCTCTTATAGATTTATTTGTTCTGTTTCTTACTATCATGAAACTTAGTTCATTTTACATTGAAACTGCCAAATTTTCTAGTTTAGGCAAATCTTTAGAATTGCACGCAACTTGAAGAAAAACATATTGATGAGTTTGGAGGTGATTCAAAAGCCTGTGTATTTTGAGAGACGTCGATTTGTGTTTGAGATGTTCCATTCAAGAATCAAAACTGAGTTATTGAACCATTTTAGCTTTGACCTGTCATGTCAAAACCGAATAACCATTTTAGCTTTGACCTGACATGTCAAAACTGAATTTTCTAGTTGTTCCGGTGGAAATGTTCAAAAACTTCAAACTACCAAAAGGTAGATGTTTCTTTTTCCTAAATTTGTTTCAGAACTTCAACCATCCTTGTTCTCATCTCTTCCATAGTTTCATAGCATGGCTTTGGAGCTTGATGTATAACGGAAAATGTTACTTTGATAAGAAAAGCTTTCATTATGTACGGGCACTCCAGTACTTCCTCTTCAGTTATCCAGCATTTACTTAGTCTTGATGTTCTTGCTGAATAGCTCCGTAATCTAGTGTAATCCATCAAAGTTTGGATACTTCAAACTTGGGAAACCATTCAATCCGAAAGCATTTTTCATCCATAATTTCATGATCTTAAATATTTGGAAGTATGTGTGATATTTGATTCCCTAAACGCTTGTGTTCTCTTTGTCAAAGTCTATAAGTTGAACCAATCATTAATGGCTTAAATTGAAGACTTATCCGTAAAAGTTGATACCTCCCTGATAAAATATAATACAGTGCTTGGCCCATCAATTAGGGGGATTCTTGCTAGAGTTGAGGGGTGTTGAAATAAGTAAGTTACACCATTCTCTAATGGCTTAGCTTTTAGAGTAAGCAGTTGTTAATAATCTTCATAAATAGTTACTTAACAATCCTTCTAACTTTTGATGAGTTCTCCTCCACCGGTTAGGCAATCTGGTTGTCATTATTGATGTGTTGAACTTTATCCAGGTCTTATTATTTCCTTTTTTCTTATTCTAGCCACTTCATTTACTTCTCTTACCATTTCTGCACCTTACATACAATCAAAGTCACTGAATGTATTATATTCAACCTATTGCTATCTCAGTGTCCCTTCCGGCCAATTGACCTTCGAAAATTTGTTTGTTCCAAATCTTCAATTGATCTTTCTAACCAAATCTGTTAATGATAATGATTGAGCTCCATGATCTAACCACCCAGTTTCAAACCTTTATATGCATAAGGACCTTTTTTTTTTGTTTTTTTTTTAGTCAGTCCTAAAGGGATGTAACTTTTTACTTGCCCATAAAAGTACTTACGAGACTATAAACCTTATAATGCCTTCTTGTAAAAAAATGACCCCTTGTTTTCCTAATCAACCCAATTAAAAATCCAATCTAAGTTATACATAACATCGCAGTTTAAAAAATTTATATGCTTTACTGACAAACTTAAATTGTCATAATGAACTAATACCAAATCCAAAAATAATTCTTCTCTTGACCCCATGTGTTGTAACTTATAGAATTAATATACTCCATTATGTTGAGAATTCACTGGTTGATTAAGTGTTATTTGCAACAAAAATAAAGAAAAATGTTGTTTCCGTTCTCACTCTTGAGTGGAGAGTTGAAATTTGTTCCATCTGTATGGATGTAGTGATGGGTACCAGAATGCTCTAAAATATAAAAATAATAAGTATAGATGCTCTGGAGTTCTCATTGAAATATAGCGGATCTATTTTTTACGTGAAAACTAAATTATTATTTTTTATTTTTTCCTTTGTGATGGTTTATTCAGAGAATCGTGGAATGAACCGAAGAGAGTAGAAGGATTGAATCAAGTAAAAGTTCGAGCTGCATTTGCATCTGGTGTCATCTCTACGGCCATTGGAGATGATGGCTCTTTGTGGGTCTGGGGAAAATCGAAGCGTGGACAGCTTGGTCTTGGAAATGGAATTATTGAATCAATATTTCCTTCCAAAGTTGAAGCTCTTTCTGGGGAAGAGATAGTTAAGGTGGTCTTCATGTCATGCTTAAGGTAGAAAAATATAATACATACCACTCACTGATGTTGCAGTTCACCCATGATTAGCCGAGTTGAAGAAAAACTGAGTGGGCTCTTTCTAATATGTCCAAAGTCATATTTTCTGATATGATGGGTGATTTCTTATATTCATCTTTGTTTGGCAGGTCTCACTTGGTTGGGGCCATGCTCTGGCTCAAACGAAGGATGGAAAATTGTTTGGATGGGGTTATTCAGCAGATGGTAGATTGGGACAGATTGGAAAAGAGATCTCTCCGCTTGACTCAAGCGCTGATATTTTAGAAACAACAGAACTTTCAAGTTCAATGCTGGAAGCTGCTGAAAAGTTGGTCCTGGAAGGAATGGAGAAGGAGAAAGACATGCCAATTACCTGGGAGCCTTGTTTAATCGAGGAACTACAGGGTGTTGAAGTTGTAGATGTTGCATGTGGGCTCGATCATTCCTTAGTTCTTTGCCGTAAGTATTAATTATCAACATGCAAGTGCAAATATGAAGAGGGTGACTATGTATTCATGTTAGTTCTATTGTTATATTTCAGGTGATGGCACCCTATTAAGTAGTGGGAGCAATATCTACGGCCAATTGGGCAGAGTAATACAAGACCTGGGAATGCTACCGGTTGACATAAGCTTCCAACCTCTGTCTATAGCATCAGGCTTGGGCCATTGTTTAGCAATATGCCAGATTGCATCACCAGAGGTCACAGGAGATGCCACAAGCATCATTTCATGGGGATGGAACCATAGTTCGCAGCTCGGGAGAGAAGGCCCAGAGAACCTCCCATCATTGGTGATTACGGGGCTCGCAGAGGAAACGCCTATTTCAGTGTCAGGAGGGCGTGCACATTCAATTGCTCTTACATCTAAGAGAGAGGTGTGGGTTTGGGGCTGTGGTAAAAATGGCAGGCTAGGGTTAGGCAGCTCATTTGATATACCTGAACCAACGTTGATTGAATGTTTGGAAGGTTCTGAGGTTCTGCAAGCCGTGACAGGCTTCGATCATAATCTTGTTCTGATTGCTGAATGATGTAGCTTGAAACAATCTCTAGATCTGGTTGCTAAATGATGTAACAGAATTATCTGTAGCTTTACAATTTCTAGAAATAATAGAAGTCAGTCGGTTACAATTTATAGATCTAAATGAAACTGGGGTTCTATTTTGTTTTCCTGGTTTGCATTCCATGGCGCACTCAATCTTCATTGCAATATGGATGAATGTAATTGTATTTGAAGCAATCTGGTGATGCTGCTTTTGATTATGGATCAACTGGCATGAAAATCAGGTTTTCTTAGGTTGATGAGTCACTTTAAAGGGCAGCTACTTTTCAGGATAGCACAGTATATACACCTGGCTGATTGTTCAAACGGGAGACCAGGAGCCGGGATCATCCCGGCGACTTCAGATTGAGATAAATTTGATATAATTTGAGTTTTATATTCCACCATTTCACATCAGTGAGGCTTAGTTTCGATTCTTCATTGCTTGATTAATTGACAGAGTTCTTTTCTGGTTTTCGTGGGTAAATTGTTGGTGGGACAGAATGTCCAGATGTTGTCAATGAGCAGAGCTTGTGAACTCATCTAAAAACTAGATTGTCTACCAAACTGAAGTGAAGAAATTGTCCAATTTGTATCAGCATGGACAAAAAGAAGCTCAATTTCTTGCAAGGACTGAATGCATCACATGAAGTGCTTCATCAACATCAAATATAGCTGCAAGATCTAATGCTTTGCAAGGTTATTTAGATATGATTCAAATGAGCCAAGTTCAGACAGTGTGAGTCCTATCGCCTACCTATTACATTTCAAAGAGGTGCAACAAACATCGAACAGAAGAACCAATTACATTTCAAAGAGGTGGAACAAACATCGAACAGAAGAACCAGACATTCACTTTGGAAACACAATCCCCCGACCAAGCTCTCCTCCTTACTGCGTCGTCACTGTCACAAAACCACCAATCTGGTGCTGGCCCAGATCATGGACTATCAAAATTGGTCCATGCTAATATGAAACTGTCAAATTGATTATGGTGAGAGCCAGACACTTTTGATCAGCCCCTCAAAAGATTAACTGCAGTAGAGCAAGATTTAGAAAATAGTGAGTGTATGAATTCCGGGCTAGCAAAGTAGTATACTTAGGTGTATGGAAGCCTTTTTATGACTATCTTGAGAACATGAACCTCCAAAAGTGGTGCAACAAAGACCATAAAAAACAAGACTTGGTTCTGTAAAACCATGTCAAAGGATAAAAACACAACTAAGAAGCTTGATTTGGAACTCAAAAAACCTTGTGGAAACCATTAAATTCCAGCCAAATTTACAGCCAGGCTTTCAAGGAATGACATTATGCTGTGCCCATGTGGAAAAAAAAGGGTCCAAACTACATCATTTTTTATTGTTTTACAATGGGAAATATAGAAAACTAAGAATGAAGATCAAAGAGTCTCCTATCTTCGGAACAGACCCTTTGCAATGTAACTATATAGAACCTGAAGCAGTGCCTCACAACAAAAATTATGTACTTGGGGTCTAAAAATGCATATAACCGATATATCAACTATATCTATTCCAACAGTCACACAATGCATGTACCCTGTTCAAACATTCTTTAGGTGTTCTCTTTTATATATTGTTTATCATATAGATTGACACCTAAATTAATATTGCATATATTTAATGAAACGGTAAAATAATCAACCACCCAAAACAACACGGCCTTAAATCCCAACTTCCATTAAACATTTTTAGTACCTCAGAAGTTTTCTGGGCTATCATCCAATTGTTTCTCATCTTCGATATCTACCTCCAAGATTTCCTACATAAAAGGTACAACATTTCGACCAAGAAAGCAAGAAACAGTGAATTAAAGCTACCATTTTTCATCATGATGTAGAGATATATACATAGAAGTTTAAAAACTGACTTACAGGAATCCTTTGCTTCAAGTAATTGGCAAGCCTAGCTAAAACAGTGGAACGTTCGTGCCAAAACCGACCTTTAAGACTAATCTTCACAAAGGGTCCATCCAATTCAGCAAGTTTTGCTTCTCCTATAATTTTTTCATCACCTTCATAACTCATTGAGCATATAAAAACAGAAAGAGTACTAGAGTCATATGTACCTTGGAGAATCACCTGTTATGCCAACGTCTGAGCTGTCAAAGATTTGTGGAAACTGCAAAAACACACAATGAATTCATGCATTCATGTTGGCTATTAAGGTATATAGCTTTAATATTTAAATCCTCTAACACGTCTGTGACCTTTTTTTTTGTCCAACATATGTTTCAATTTTAATTATCATGGCATCTTGAGGGTGAGGTTTAAACTCAGATTTTGCCATGTTACTTTAAAAACTAAAGCTATTATAAATTGTACATAACTTTAATAAATCCTCTAACACAATTAGGTCTAGCTGCAGAAGATCTAAACTGGTGCTTTGCATTTATTTATTTTTCACAAATTTAACATACACATTATACAAAACACGAATTGGGTGTTCCTAGTATAAAACACACATATACATGTGTGTGTGTGTGTGTATATATATAATTAAAATATAGAAAATATGATGGAACTTACTTTAAGTCTAGCATCCTCTAAGACCTGTTTAACATTGTCCTCTGTCAAATCTAGTGGTTGAAGTGAGGCTGAAATTAGCCGTTTGGAGACAGCTGTAGATGATGACCTCCTTTTTGTGAATCTGAGCAGAATTGTATGGTGTTGCAAATTTCCATGCTTTATGCCCACCATCTTCATGCTAGTGATCAGAGTGGAATTGATATAAGGGGAAGAGAGGACTGGTGGTGGTATTGATAGATGATGGTGGTGACCACCATAGACAAGCTTTACTGGCATTTTTTTTTTTTTTCCCTCTCTCAGCTTGTGTGAATGCCACTGGAGTCCTGGTATTCTTATCCTCTATCTCTGGGAGAGAGAGAGAGAGAGCACTGGTCCACTGTATTGCCAAGTTTGAGTCAGACTGGTTAAACTAGCCCAACATGGGTTGGGCTTTTGATTGGGTTGGCACTGGAATGCTGAGTCCAATACTGTCGTCTTAAACCCATAGCGAAGCCAAATCCATTTAGACACTGAATGACCCAGTATGGGTAAAGAGTGGGGTAGTCCCAGCAAGAGTTTTTGGCGTAGGAGAAATTTTTAGGATCAGAGATATTAGGTGCACCGTGAGTATGCCCGATGAATGAAAATGACCATAGCAATTAGTTGAAAGTAATTTTTAAAAATAAGTGAGGTTAATTTCATAAAATGAAATATTTACATTGATCGGACAAATTAATGACTTGGTATGCCCGGCACATTGAATATCTTTTCAATTTTTAAATTATTTCAGCCAATTACCATTGAACAAGTTAAAAAATCTTATGTATGTTGGTCACAAGACGATATAATAACTTCTCCTCCTATTTTGATTTTTTTTTTTTTTTTTTTTTTTGTGTGTGAAAAACTGTTCACGGAATAGAGAAAATAGTATATAATAATAATTTTTTGAAAATTTTTTATAATTTAAAAAATAATCGACAACTGTTTCCTAAAAATTCTGTCAAAATGTACCCTTATTTATGGTGCCTTTTTTTTTTTTTTTTTTCTTTTCCTCCTACTATGTTAGACTTCCCTCTCTCTCATCAGAAATTTGTATTTCAAACGAGGGAGCACGAGATATTAAATTAGTGATACACGAAAATTGATTTATTGGATGGATTTGGTCCTTTACTCATCATTAATTTAGTGGAAATTTTTTTTAATATTAATATTGTATTTTACTTTTTATTTATTTATTGGTTTTCACTTGTTGATGAAAAAAATTTCAATCAAGTGGATAGCTAGTATGTACCATGTGTATTAGTAATGCAAGCATGACATTTTTATATTTGTTTAGTATTGAAGGTTGTAACTTGATGATATCTCTTTTATTTTTTATTTTTCACTTTTTAAAAGAGACAATAAGAGTTTGAGTATTAGTAAAGACAAATAGATGCATAAGTTTTTTTTGCCAATAAAATAAAATATAATATGAGCTGGAGAATAGTGGAACAAAAAAGAGAAAAAAGCTAGTGAGCTGACAAGAACGGCTAGGGGAAAAAAGAAAAATAAAAGGGAAATAGGAAAAAGAAGAAAGAGGGAAAGCTTACTTTTATTTGTTATATTCTTGTCCTATTTACTTGTTCATGTATAATTATTATCTATTTTTTGTTTTATGTTAATATTGAGTTATTATATTATATAAATTTATATTGTACTTGATATTGTTAACCAATTTGAATGCATGATTATGAAAATTATTATCTTATTGAAATTATTGCGGGTTCTATATGTTATTGATGTAAATTAATCTATAATTGTAATGAAATATTGATTTGTATATTATTGGGTTAACTGAAAATGAAATTGAGAAGAGTATTTTAAGTTGTGGTATTGGAAATTGGTATTGATTATTATACGAGGGGCACAATCTTCATGTTAACTAAAAAGGTTCCTAAAAGAAAATGAAGACTTATACGAGGAGTGTGGTCGTTCTAAATATGTTGATTATGGAATTTTAAAATTTCTTATAGGTTCTTCTTGCTTGTGGAAGTTCAAAATTATGTAGGCATATTGCGAAAATTTGCAACTAATATATCTTTGCAAGGAAAATATGTTTTTATATAATATAAATACGAATTCATTGAAACAGTTTGATTATTTTAACAAATAAAATAATCTTAGTGTGTGGTGCAATGAATTTGTAGCGTCATTACATCCACATCGGCTCCATAAATGTGGTTCACGCGGTCCAACCAGTCTCACAACTTCCATTACATTCAATCACATTATCTTCAGACTCGTCGTACGCGGATTCATTCGAGAGACACCCCCCACACAAACAATTACATATACCTTACCCTTATATATATATATATATATATATATATATATATATATAAGAAATTAATATATATATATATATATAACAAATTAATGTTTTAAAAAAAAGAAACGAAACTGAATGAAAAAAATAAAAAAGGGGGACCAGCAAACATTTATGGGGCGAGATTAAACAAAATTCACACTAATTAATGTTGATCTTTCAAATTACTAGTAAATTGCAATTTTTTTTTCAAAGAAAAGAGGAAATTATATACCATTAATTAGCAAAATCACTGGCAATGAGATGGTGAACCCAAAAACTTCCCATTCAACACCAAAAACTTTACATTTGATGGTCCATTGCCCTAATTCAGGTGCTTACAAGTTTTAGACAAGAAGTTGAAATATTACTCAGTAAACAATGAAACTATGAGTGCTTGAATCTTATTTAGAGACAATGGCATAATTCATATGCCACCACCCTATTATAACTCATGAACGGGATGTCGAGTGTTCAAATCTTGATAAAAACAATATTGTACAAAAATATAAAAAGGGAGGATGGTATATATATATATATGATAATATAATCGTATTTAAAGCCTCTTACAAGTTACAATAAACTGGATAGAAAGAGAGAGTGTTATCCATGCACTTAGGAAAGCGTGGCCTGCCTTGACGGGCCTTGAATGCTTCACCACCTACCTCACCAAAATCCCATTATTAAGTACTGAAAGGAGCGCTGCTCCACCAGTACATCACACATTTTTCCTCTACCGAAGCAACACCCAAAAGAGAGAAAGTTTAGAGAGAGAGAGTGTGTGTGTCAAACAAGATGGAGAAAGTTGGAGCAGTAGCTGCAGCAGGAAGCTCACCAATGGATACGTTTCCGGCAAGGGATGGAGAGGTTGCTGGTGAAGGAGGAAACACCTGCTTGCGCACCGCCGAGACGTTGCTGCGTCTTTTGCCAATGGCTCTTTGCGTTGGAGCACTTGTGGTCATGCTCAAGAATTCCCAGACTACTACTGACTTTGGTTCTATCTCCTACTCCAACCTTGGAGCTTTCAGGTAATATATATATATATACATATATATGTATGTATGTATATATAATTATCATGTCACTCTCTCTCTCTCTCTCTCTCTCTCTCTCTCTCTCTCTGTATGTAATATATGTACACACACAAACATACACAAGTGCCAAATCCAAATCATTTTTTTGTCTTCATATAGAACATTCATGCCCAGAAACAATTATGACCTATATATGTATATGAGGTCACACAAAACATTTCTTTCAAGTGTGTCAAAAATCATCGTAACGTCACTGTATTTGGCCTGCTATTTTGAAACAAATATTTGGATAGTAATAGTCTATAATTAGTGAAGGCTTGGGATCATGACGACCGCGTCGTAAAATTTCTGTTGAGTGCTAAAAAACACAGTTTAATGCCCTTTTTATTAAGATTCATAAAACAGTGAAAATGTTCTAAAATGTTTCAAGACAGAACTGACTTGGACTAATTAATTGATGCTTCTTAGCCAGTAATTTATACTCACTTAATAATCCATCCATATCCAATGAATCTAAATAAATAATTGATCAAAATAATTTTTGATACACTTGTTCCATCCAATGGATCATCCACCTAACATAATAACTAAAGTAGTAGCTAGACTTCATTTTCACACACTCAAATGAATACTCACACTCCTTTTCATTTTGAGCATTTATTTTTATTTTTATTTTTAAATTTTTTTTCTCAAAAAGTTAATATTAATCACTTTAAACTATAAGATGATTTGCAAACTTCGGATGAACGGGCACGTAACAGCCCGAAAATCACTTTGATTCAAACCAGATACCTAAAGAAGGTACTAGCAAAGGCCTTATTAGTCCAAGCGCCGTCCAGACTCGAGCTTTGAGTAGTTTGTTTATTAATTATGCATAATTCAAGTGCAGTGTGGTCCTACCCCCATGGACCTACACAAAGTACATAAATAGATAAATAAATAAAGTAATGGTTAGAAGCTCCAACAACACGAGAGGAGAAAAGTCCTATTAGTGGACTCCACTGCAGGTGGGGACACTAAATACTATCCACTCGTATGATGCTCATAAATGGGATGTGGAATACATGAAAGAGTACTAAATTAAATTAACCCCATTATTATTTTTTATTATTATTATTTTCATATCAGTTTAAGCTTTTAGAACATGCAACAACTATGATCAAGTCTGATTTCTCATTACTCAGGTATTTGGTACATGCCAATGGCATTTGTGCTGGATATTCTCTTCTTTCGGCCATCGTTGTAGCCATGCCTCGCCCCTCCACCATGTCCCGAGCCTGGACTTTCTTCCTCCTCGACCAGGTTAGCTGATTTGCATCCCATGTTCTGTTTTTACATTATATATACATATATGCAGTTGTAAACATATCGTAATACTCGTGTATATGCAGTTGTTAACATACGTAATACTCGCGGCTGGTGCTGTGTCGACCGAGGTAGTGTTCTTGGCCTACAAGGGAGACCAAGCCACCACATGGAGTGAAGCCTGCGACACCTTTGGTGGTTTCTGTCGGAAGGCAACGGCATCCGTAGCCATCACATTTGTAGTAATACTTTGCTATGCAGTGCTTTCGCTCATCTCTTCCTACAGACTTTTCAGCAAATATGATGCACCCGTTGGCCACAACAGCAAGGGCATTGAGATCGCTGTCTTCCATGGCTGATCATCTTCTACCCTTCAAATCAACAATTAAGTTTCTAGTAGTTTTTATGTAACAATATAGAAAAAATATATAAATAACGTGTAAGCATAAGATGTGTGTGTTTTACGGTATGTTTTTCTGGTCATGAAGGTGCTTGTTTGAGCCTGTTTTGTAGCCTGATCTCATGACCACTTGATGTCTGGAGAAGAAGATAACATCATATATTATGTAAACATAAGTCGTTTGCTTCTCGTAATGCCTAACTTGAACTTGTTCTTCAAATGATTTTAGACTTGCATGATCAACGCAATCATTTTAAGATGGAGATTTAACCATGCTTGGTCATGGATCAGAATCCATATTTAACAAATGAAATGATTAAACAATGAATAATGCATGATAAATAGTTCCACAATTTTTCTACGTCATTTATATAAGAAATATATGCAAACAATCATGTGTTTGTTGCTCTCCCGGGAAAGTTATGTAAAGGGCAATAAGACGTCTGTTCCAAACACATCCCATTTACCACAATGCCATCATATTATATATGCAAACGCATGTCGTACCAGACACGGCGCATGAGACACAAAAACTTGAATTATATTACTTGATCCTATCAATGGAAGACGAGTAGTACGTAGCTGTGACCATTCATGTAATCCAATGATACAGAAAATCGATCACCTATATATACTAGTCTACTATATATATATATATATATGTTTAATAGCTAATCCGTGTCAACTTGTATGGAGACCTAGCTAATCCGTATTGACTTGTATGGAACGAGGAGACTTGCCCTCTTATCTTCAGCGTGCTTCTTCATACAAAACAACTGCAGCAAACAAAAGCAATTAGTGTTAAAATGGCACAACTGCTACAAAGAAAAGCAATTAATGTTAAATGGCAATGCTTAAGGGATATAAATTAAAAATATTACTAATCCTCCAGCCTACCAAAACAAAAACAACCACAAGGACCCACCAATTAAATTCAATGATACGGGAGACTTCCAATACTGTTGAACTTTTTCTACGGAATTCACATATAATATTATTGATGTGAATAATGGAGAGGAAAAATGATTTGAAGGCCAATTAGTTGCACCTATTTGTCAAATTGATAAATTAAGGCTATTAATGACCTAAAATGGGGGAAGAAGAGGTCGGGTTCTCACTTTAAGTCATCAATGATCTTAATTAATTCACTTTGACAAATAGACCATACAGCCTGCCTAAATATATGGAGATAGATGAACCAATACTATATACTTAACATAATCATGTTTGCAAGGTCCCGATCCTTTATTCAAGTTGCCAAATCAATCAAACACACTAATAAAAAATTAAAACCTTTTTGGGTAAGGATTATGATAGGATGGGAAGGATCACCTTTAGGATCATAAATGCATGTTTCTCATCATTATAATAAATGTTAGAAGTTAGATTAGTAGATGAAGAGAATCGAAACCTGACACTCCAAAATTCACGGGAGGCATTAACCCATTAGGCATATCTTCTAAGTGCATGTTTCTTATGTTTGAAATAATTATGTATACTTTTGTGTTTCAGGCTTATTCTTCAAGGGATTTTTTCTCTTGAAAATTAGTTTTAGTTCTTTTTCTACGCATAACCATGATCCTAAAAACCTTGAACATAACTATAAAAAATTAGAATAATATATAACTAAAGAATATTTTAAAAAAGAGCAGCATAATGTCAAGATGCACGAACAAGTACAGGAGGACGAAGAGAAAAGGAGGCCAAATATAGTAAGGATGAAATATTATGAGTAGAGGAGGCGGAAATTTAGTATATCACTGATATACTTAATTTGCAAGGTTTCTGCAAGATACTAAAGCCATCTAGTGCAAGTGGGAGGAACTTGTTGCTTCAACTGGAGGAGGCACTAAAAAGAGGGAAACATGAGGATGCAAAATTATCTCGAAAAAAAAAAAAAAAAAAAAAAAAAAAAAAAAAAAAACCCATGAGGATACAAGCTCCTCCAGGCTGCAAGGATAATCCAAGGAAGAGTCACTAGCAGATGAGAAAGAAATTTTATGAAAGAATAATGATATAATGTCCGACTAAAATGTCCGAATTTACTTCCGACCTTGATGTGCGTCAACAACATTATTTCCTTTCCGCCCTAAAATACAAAAAACGTTTCTCTCTCTTCTATTGGATCCGATTTGATTCTTGCCTTCAAAGAATTTCCATGATGCATCAAAACAATCATTTATATAGGATTTATGATATTTCAAGAAGAAATGGAAAACATGCGCAAGATCGAATAGTTAACCCAGTCCATAGGGTCAGTTTAATGGCAGCCACTTTGTTCAAATAGTGTGAAAAGTAATATATATATATGTATACAAGAACAAGAAATTATCTTTTAACAAAAAAAAAAAAAAAAAAAAATTATACAACTGTTCAAGATTGTATGAGAAATCAATCAATCATCAACTAATGGAGCTAAAAACGAAAATCATGAATATATATACAAGTTCTAAAATCAAAGAATAAGCGAACAATCACTTGGAAAGAAAAATAACTACTTCTAGACAATTTCAGAAGCTTGGAACTAGGGTTTTAGGAAACCATTTATGGCATATACATTGAATGAAACAAAATGACTGACAGTATGAATCAAATAGTTAATTCCCAAAAACTGAACTTCAATGTGAAGCTTGGCATACTTACAGACTCCTCACCGCATTTGTCATGGAACCATTCGAAAACCAATTTGTTCTTTTTCCTTTTCTTTTTTTAGTGTTTTCGTTGTCATTTTGAAATGAAGCTCAGTTAATGGGTCGGACATAAATATTGAGGCAATGCGATAACTTTTTAAAGTGTAGGAGATTTTTTTAAACAAATTAAAAGTTTGTGATCAAAATTTGAAAGTAACAAGAGTTTTATAAAAATAGCCCTAATTCAGATACTCACTCTGTTTGCAATGAAAATTAAACAATCACTTTTTTACTCTAAAAAAACAGAGGAGATCTACTAAATTACAGCTCTTTTGTTGATAGTATATCAGGACGAGTAAAATCCAACAATAATATATATATTCTCAAATTCGGTCCATGATGAGTCTAAAGAGGAGGTAAGATTTTGAAAACCTTAACTTGTAAATTTATAATGGTGCAATCTCATCTTTAGTGAAGTACATGACCCTATGCAAGAAAGAATTCTTACTCTAGAAAAACACACATATATAGGGAACAAGGATACCAATTAAAAATTCTTGATACGGTAGCATTTACATATTATTTATTTCTATATTTTTATTATTATTATATTTTGTTTTTTTTTAATCATATCCCAATATTGAAATAAATTAATGGTTTTAAAAACATTAAATACACTAATTTTTAGGCTTTAACTGCATAACTGGTGAACAAATCATCTGTTGTATGCTATTATGTTTAGGAACACAAAAACAACAGTAGAACAAACAATCTAAGGTATTTCAAGTACAAATGACATTTGGATAAATAAAAAAATTAAAAAAAATAAAAAAAAGGTAACACGATGAGTATAAGACCTAAAATAGTCATACAAATATAATCAAAACAAGATAGTTTCTTTTAAGTCCCTTGGAAGTTAACAATATGAATCAGCTTTCCTGTGAGTATTAACACGTTTCCAAACCATGAATGTAGTGAAGAAAGGTCGAGAACAATAAGTCCATACCAAACACACATCCCATTTACCACAATAGAGAAGACATCATCATATTATCTGCAAACACGACTAGTACCAGACTGGTTTTTTTAGAGGTTCTTTTGGTGTCCTAGCATAACTCGTAACGCAACCACACCCGAGATACTCGTAACACAAAGTCATATTACTTGATCGATTAGCAATTGTGACCATACATGTAATCCAACGGAAAATTAATCACCACACACTGGTAGTAATAGACATGTTTAATAGCTAATCCATATCAACTTCTATGGAGACCTTCCCTCCTTTCTTCAGCGTGCTTCATACTGAACAACTGCAGCAAACAAAGCAATTAATGTTAAAATGGCACATGTATGGTCACAATTAATGTTAAAATGGCGATGCTTAAGGAATAGATATTAAAATAGAACTAATCCTGGAGCCTACCAAAACAAAAACAAGCACAAGGGGCCAACAAGTTTCAATTCACGAAGTTGGTTATTGGGCAAGAAAATCAATGATACTGGAGACTTCCAATACTGTTGGAACTTTTTCCATGGAAATCACATTCGATATTATTGAGGCCAAAATAATGGAGATAGATGGACTAATACTGAATCTTTAACATAATCATGCCCTTTGATCCAAGTTGCCAAATCAATCCAATTCACTATAAAATAAAAAATAAAAAAACCTTTCTGGGTCAGGATTGTTATAGGATAGGTAGACCACCGGTAAAATCATAAGATCCTACCGATCAGATTTAAATGGACACTTCATTTATTTCAATTGATCATTTGGATTCTTTGGGCTAGCAACCTGTTTTGTATTAAAAGACCCAAGTTCGTTCTAAGATTTTAAGCATAAAAGCAAACTAGGAGGGGCAAAAAAGAAAAGAAAAGAAAAATAGAAAGGCTTACGACTCGTAGGGGTGCACAAAAAACCAGTTAAACCGATATACCGAACTGGACCAAACAGGGCAGGTAGGTTTGGTCTAGTTTTTTCACGGTTTAGTTTGGTTTGGTTCGGTTCGGTTCGGTTCGGTTAAAAAAATGGAACTGTTTACAAACGGTTTGGTTACGATTTTAGATTCTACAAGACCGAGCCGAACCTTATTATAAATTGCATATATATTTATATATTATGATTAAAATAATAAGATTAACATTTTAACCACTCAACTATAAATCATAATATATAATAAAAAATTATATTATATATAATATATATTTTTAATTATATATATATTGGATTGAATTATAAAAAAGCCTAGAACCGTGGAACTGAGCCAAACCAATCCATTTTATCACGGTTTGGTTTGGCTCGGTTTCATTGATTTCACGGTTCGGTTCCAATTTTTATGGAACCGTTAAAAACAGTTTGGTTCCAAAATATTCCCATACCAGTCCACAATCCAAATTGTGTGCACCCCTAACGGCTCGTTAATAGTCCCATTTTCAACTTCTTGCTATCACAAGACGGCAACAGAGTTGTGGTAGAGTTAGGGACTTGGTTGCCTGATCTCCGATGAACTTCACGACCTTCGATATTTGAGGTTTTACTCCACAGCAAAGTTCTAATCTAATCCTCCTTCAAGCTTTAACTCAAATCCTCCAAGGTAGGCCTCAAAACTTTAGCTTCTTCACTTTTCCTTCTTGCTTTCGTCGTCTTCATTTATAAGGCTTAAAAGTTCCAATTTATTCGACTTTTTACTCTGAATATCTGCTTTGTTTTGCTCTTAATCCTTCTTCCTTTTTTTGCTTCAAAACTTTGGTTTTTTTTATTTTGCTCTGTTCTTCACTCTTCTTCATTTGGTTCGTTTTCTTTCTTTCCGGAAATAAGAAAACGAACTCTGTTCTTTTTTTCTCTCCCTCTAATTTTATTTTTAAAGAACATATGCAAAGTTGCAAATAGAGCATGTTGAAGAATTTAAATATTTAAGTTACACCCACTCTAACAGCTTAAGCTTTTGGAGTAGATGGTTGTCAACATGGTATCAGAGCTCTGATACCATGTTGAGAGAAAGAACTACAGAGAGACACAGACATAATATTTGGGGAGTATACTCTCGATACAGAGAATCCTAAAGAATTTTGTTTATATATGTATGTATATATATATATATATATATATATATATATATATATTTAAAAGTATTTGAGTATTTACAAGTAGACCCCAAACTCTATGGCTAATTATACTATTACCCAACAGAGCAGATTGCAGCTCTGTTTCTTCTCCTTTTGTTTTCTGAGTTTCTTTTTACAAGCTAAAATGTTCACAAAAAAATGGAATTGGTGCTCTGTTGGTTTGAGGGATCTAACTTTTATGGTATATTCTTAAGGGGTAAACTCGTCCCTAAATGCATGTTTGTTATATTTGGAATATATTTCTGTATGCTTTTGTGTTTAAAGCTTATTCTCTTTATATTTTCAAGGTTTTTTTTAATCTTAAAATTTAGTTTTATTTCTTTTTCTACGTAGGATCCTGATCCGTAGAACCTTGAATATAACTATAAAAATTAGAATAATATAATTATAGAAAGTTAAAAAGAAAGCAACATAGTGTCAAGATGCATGAACAAGTATAGGAGGACAAAGAAAAAACAAGGTGACATATAATAAGGATGAAATATTATGAGTAGAGGAGCGAAAACGGTATTTCACTTCAACAATATTGGCTATACTCCGTAATCACTGATATACTTTACAAGGTTTCTGCAAGATACTAAAGCATCATTGCAAGTGGGACTGCAAGTGGGACTGCAAGTGGGAGAACTCATAGCTGCAACTGGAGGAGGCGCTAAAAAGAGGGGAAATGAGGATACAAGGTCTCTCCAGACTGCAAGGATAATCCTAAGGAAGAGTCTCTAGCAGATGAGGAAGAAATTCTATGAAAAGTTCACACTAATTATCCTAATATGGCGATAATATTGGGATTTCCAATGTCACAACCTTTTCAAGTGTAAGTAATTTTTCCAATAATAATAAGGTAAAAGAAAAGAAAGAAACAAAGAAAGAAAAAAAGTGGAGAAAGGAAACCATTTACTAATACCCAACCCCATAACTAAAACAAAATAAAGTACCAGAACAACAACCAGCCTCAATTCCCGGGCCCCCCAAAAAATATATAATATAAAAGGTAGTACCAGAAACTTAACCCGTGTTACACCCAACTGTTTATGGGCCTAACTTCATGGACCATATTATGATTCATCATGATTTGATATTATTCTAAACCAGCTTTCAGCCTGACATCCGTCCTCCATTATTTGATACCAAAATCCATATATCAAAAAATACCAGTTGGTGGGAGGGGAGGGCTTTAAAATGCTAACATTAGGTGACATAAGAATAAATTAACCACCTATTAATTAAGCAGTTTAAAATTATGTAACCTAGAAGTTGACCATAAGGCACTTTAAAATGGAAGCAAAATATCATACAAGGTGCAATTTAGAAAGGATAAAAATTAAAAGTTTAACCATTGATGATGACATACCATTATGATAAAGAAAGACGCTAATTCTACTTAACTACCTACCAACACATTTACCCTATCATTAAGATGGACACTTTAAAATAAAAAGAAGTGATTGCCAGTGATAGATGAATAATGATCAAAAAAATTCGTAGCATAGAGGTCATTTCCCAGCCAATGATTTCAGCAATAAGTCAAAACCATTGCAGACTAAATGTAGCACAGATAAAAGACAAGAATGGCAAAAATGAGACTCTTAACAAGAGAATAAAGAATGGACGAGAAGTTATTGGGATATAGCTTACTTCTACGGGTTCGCTTCTTGTACAAGATGCGATAACCGCACTCTCGGCATTGAATCACATCACCAGGCTTCAGCGTGTTTTCCTGTCCACAATCTACATAATGAAATTTATCTTGAGGATTTCAGGCTATACTTAGCAGTGGCAAAATACGAACATGTTGATACGCATGTATCACACGTGTGTGTGAAGTAGATACTACATACAAATATAAAAAATAAAAACATATGTATATAGATGCATATATAGAGAAAAATTAGGGAGATAGTTAAATGCACACCTCCACAGATGTAGCTAACTGGTTCTGGTGGAGGATCCATTGACGATGGAATCTTCAAATTCGGACAATAACCAAAAAAAAAAAAATTAACCTTACATCAAATTTTGAAATTCAGGTGGACAACTATCAAGCATTATTCAGTATATATATTATGATAAAAGTGTTGTCTTCCCACATGGACCTATAACTTCATAATTTTACAGCATATTTACCCATAACAGTGTTTTCTTCCCACATGAACCTCTCTCATATTTTTAGAGCATAATTACACATACCTTCAAAGGAAATAAAAAACCCATACCAATATTTTCGAAGGAGAAATTTCCATAACAAATCTTGTACCAATCCATAAGTTGAAATAATTAAATATCCATTCAAACAGCAACGGATTGGTGATCGGGTTGTCGATATAGATCTATAAATATATATACACAATGTATAGATACAGAGAGAGAGTGAGATACAGAAGACGTACCTGCGACAGATTTCCGAATTGAGCAGGAGCGTAGTTTGATATGTCAATGAGGGTGGTTAGGGTTTGATATTTATATAGTGAATATGGAGGAACTATTCTTACAATGCTTACTGAGCGGTCAGCCCAATTATCTTCTTTACCGCTTCCACAACTTGAAACATGTTTTTTTGGTAAGTGAACTGTAACTGGGCCTAAGAAGCCAGGAGGAACAAAAGCCCACGATAGGCAAAAGAAATTAAAAGACCACGCCTGGCCCACTTCCTCAAGGCCCACAGTCCGGGTTTGGATTTTTGGCTCGATCCATTGAACAGTCGAAACCCACAACTTAGGCATTGTTGTAATATGTGTAGTCATGAACTGAGTAAATTTTAGTAGTCCAAATTTAGTTCAATTTTTCATTACCATAAGTTTCACTCGCATTTTATTTTGTTTGCCATGAAATTCAACAATCAACAGAGAAGATGTACTAAATTACAGCTCTTGGTCGTATATCAGGACCAGTAAAATCCAACAATAGTATAAAAAATATGTTAACACATGTTCAAACTCGGTCTCTGATGAGTTTAAATATATATTAACATATGTTCAAATTCGATGAGTCTAAGGAGGGGTGCAAGATTTTGAAAATCATTACTGGCATCTAGGGCTGCAACTCGGGCCGGCCCAACCCGAAATAACTCGAGCCCAGTTTAAAATTTTGTGGGCTTGGGCAATGTGTTTTTAGTTTTGGTTTGGGCCTGGGTTATATATTTTGAGCCTGAATTCAATTCGGTATGGGCTTATGTTGATATTGATGAAGCCCGAAACCCAACCCGAGCCCGAAAATATTATATATATTTATTACTATAGTTAGATCACAAGATTTTGGTAGCCAAGTTAGTAGTGTTCTTAAGATTTATATTAAAATTTTCATGTTCGTGGGTGTAGCATAAATTGATTTATTTTTTACACATAAATTCTTCCGAGGCGGGCTTGGTGCGGGCTCGAGCTGAACTAATTAAGTATGGCTTGGGCTTGGGCATCTCAGCTCAGGCTTAAGGCGGGCTGGGCTTGGACAGAAGATTTTTTATATGCGCCAAGTCCGTCCAACTCGCCCGAGTTGCAACTCTACTGCCGTCCAATACTCCACTTGGCCAACGATGACTTTAGATTTCTCCTAAAGAAACTTAATGGAAAAGTTGCCAATTGCAGGATGTTAAAAAAAATGAGTAACAATCCTTTCCCCCGTGCTGGAGAGAGTCATGTATTATATTAAGAATGGAGAATGAACTGCAAAACCACCTATAATGGTTCATCTTTATCACATTCTGGTGGTACAATCTCCATCTTTGGTGGAATACCACTTCCCTAAGTTAAAAATACACATGAGAATACCAATAAAAAATTCTTGATATTGTGGCATTTACATTTGATTTGTTTATATATTATAATTATTATTAAACTAATTTTTCATTATTCTTTTAATAATATCTCATTATTATAATTTTTTTTTTCATTAACAAAAGATACACTCACACGCCCTTATTCTTGAATTTAGTGAATTTAGTGACTCCCACCTGCTCCTATCTATTCTATTTACGGATAGAGAATCATATGGATATATTCTATTTTATTTTTATAATATTTTATGTGCTCCTGTCTCTTCTCTCCGTATCAATGTTTTTTTTTTCTCTTTACACAACAGCTATACCCTTTGCCTACACAATTCTCTCTATCTCATTTTTCAATTTTTCGGTGATTTGTTTTCATTCCTCAACAACTATTTTATCTCAATAATGGGCACTCATAAAAACTCTTAATTTGTGTTTTTTTGGTCAAAAAAAAAAAATGGAAATTTTACTGACCACGGTTGGACTTGAGAAAATGACCCAATATGACCATCAACACAAAGGAACAGAACAGAAACAGAGCACCCAACCGCAGACAGGAACCGCAGACAGGGCAACACAAACATTCAAGACTGAAGAGCCACCTCTTAATGCACAAATCTAGCCCAATCCTGGGTTTTAATTCTGTAGAGCCTTGGTGCTAATATTGAAACAAATTAAATTAGTGAAGAAATAATTTCATGGATTTAAAAGCATTAAATATTTGTAAATTTTTCGGCAAATTTCACGGTAAATAATGTACTCTTTACACTTTTTTTTTTGGGAGTAAATTTATGGTAAATATATATTTTTTAAAATTTATGTAGAGCAAACATCGCATCCCTGTAAAATGGTTCTAGCACATTTTGAAAAAAAGGTCGGAAAGGTAAATAACAAATATTCTACAAAAATAAATAAATAAATTTAAAATTAATGCTTCCCTCTGTTAAATACAATATATATATATATAGTTACACAATTTGGGCATCAATAAATTGCATGCCAGTAATCGTAAAAATGCCTAGCAAACATAAAAAGAGACAAGCTACAGAAAGAAGAGCTCTCCAAAGGAAATGATGACGAGCTCGGTAAGAGCATATTCACTATAAACTTGATAATTCAAAAATGCCTTGGATGATCAAGAACAAAACGGAAAGGCAAACTTTATTTAGTGAGCGGTTTCAATAAACATACAATGAAAAGTTTAACCAAAAAAATGGAAATAGTAAGTGAATATCATGGCATCCGGGGATTGATTCACCAAACTGTCAAAGGTTACCCGATGGCACTTTACAGAGCTCATGCCCAATCGACAAAGGCACAAGCTCAGTATCTCCCTCTACACACACATAGATGTATATATATCACACAAATTTCAACTGTAAACTGTAAGATAACAAGCACAATAGCTACAAAAGAGATGAGGAATTTAGCATAAAATCATGAAAACCAAGAACCGATCATATATTTCAGTTTCACGATGTCTAAAAACATAAGTAACCTATACGATAAAACATTAGCATCTGTCCAACAGCTGAACTAATGTCATGACCAAATCAACCTCATTGAGTGCCAAATCGCATTTCTATTACTCTTTAAAAAGAAAAAAGAAAAAAGAAAAAACCCAAGTAAAAAAAAGGAAACTTTCTAGCTCCATTCTAGATCATATCTTAGAATTTCTCAAATCCCAAATGTGGCAGCCACAATGACCAGTTGGCTTCTCATTGATTGCTTCACCGCTGCATAACCTGCAAACTACTGATATTAAGCATGGCAAAATGCAAACACGACTGCAAGAAAATTTTGAGCACATAATAAGAAAGAGGACCATTCATTAGTAATGATGATGCACAGTAACAGAATGCAGAATTTTTATACCACTGTTTGCCTAGCATCTCTAAAGTCGTACTACTGCTCGAGTGATAGTTCAAGGTTCTGCCTCAAAAGCAACAAAAGTACTAGAACATACTAACCAAGAGTCTGTGAGATGCAGGTTTAATATACATACACAATACGAACTCGGGAAAAAAAGAAGGGAAAAAATATGTTAATGACAAAGATTACATCCTCACCTAGCAAGGTTGGTAACCATCATATTATACACTCATATTTTAAGTTGTAACTGCATAATTGGTGAACAAACCATCTGTTGTATGCTATTATGTTTAGGAACATATAACATCACACAACAGCAGTAGAACAACAATCTAAGGTACTTCAAGCACAAATGACGCAATGAGTATACGACCAAGAAACTTATAGTCATCCAAATATAATCAAAACCACATTGTTTTTTTTAAGTCTATTAATCACCTTTCCTTCGAGTATTAACACCTTATTTGGGCAAGTTGTAATTTTATTACTGAACTAAATGTGGAAAAATAATGCGAGCAAGTAGTTTTGACATCCCACAAAATGGAAGTCGGTCAGTGTATTCCAAATAGCTTCTATCACGACTCCACTTCCTAAATATGGCATCAATTATAAGATTATTGAAAAATATTCCGATTTATACAATCACAGAATCGTCAGAAAATAGTTTGTTAGGATGGTAATATTATTATATAGACAGTAAGAAAAAATTATGGTCACAAAAGACTTGTCACAGGAAGTTCAATTACAGATGAAAGCAGATACCATTTCATAATACTCTGAATTGAGCTTCAAATTCAGTTTTGTCCACGGCTTTTGCTAAAAGAGTGGCGGGACAAGAGCTTGCGACTGGGAGTTAGATGATCATCCTGCCAGAAGTCGTGTCAGGTGATGTCACCCAGAATTTTCAAACATCAGAGTGCGTGGTTAGTGAGTGAGAAAGACAGGAAGATATATAAGGCACATTACATGATCAGAAATATGTGAATGGGCTGCATGAGATCATTTATGTTCAACAAAAGGATGTACGTTTAAGAACAGCAGTATCAGTTATGCATGGTTGAGTGGACAATTCAAAATATCATTTTGGACACCCACTTAATTCTTCCTTTTTAACTGAGAAAGGGTCCATGCTATCCATGTAAAGAAAATTAACTTCGAATGAGAGAAAAATAAATAAAATTTGCCTGTATCCTCCAAATGCATGAAACTAGAAAAATTGCAAGTCAAAAAAAAAAAAAAAACACACACACACACAAAAGATGTGAGATGCTAATTAGAGGATAATGCAAGACACTGCTCAGAAGAAACCCTTAAAGAGATACAACTGGGTAGAAGCCAAGAAACCTTGTACAGAGATGCAGCTGAGTCAGATTCCAGAGTCTGGATTGGAACATGTCCAAGGGACTGGAAGGCATCCAAGGCATCTAATGTCAGCTGCCAACCGCAAAGAGCTATTGCACTAGCACCAGTATCAGAGCCACTGCTACCACTACAGCCTGCTGCAGCAACATTCCCATTCACCCAAGGACAGAAATAATTGTGATGCTTGATTGGATCAAACTCAACGGCTTCTTCATAGTTGCTTTCTCCGTTTGGAGGATCTGAAAATTTTTCATGTCCAACAACAGCCATAACATGGTAAGAAAATAAAAGCAAAAAGGCTTGACCTTAAGCATGCACCCTTTCCCTAATATGTGTCTAAACAAGAATATTGATATTATTTTTTTTTCAGTGATGATACTCCATATGCAGATACACATCAGAATAGCAAAATGCCCTTAAAATTCAAAATAATAAGTGATGATATCAGTGGTAGATTTCACAGATTTTTTTAAAGTTATTTTAAAAATAAATGATCCACTCAAGAGTCAAGAAAAGGTGTCAGAACACAAATAACATACAATTTAGATAAGAACCACACCTATAACTCAATTATACAACTCCAAAGTATCCACAACTCTAGTTGGTCAAGTATTTGTTGCTTCTTTAATACAAGGAACTTGAAAAACATTTTTGGTAGTTCTGAGTTCATCTTAACCAGGTATTTTCAATGAATGATTTAGAGAAGAGCATGATGCCCACTGATGGTTATGAAATGGTACAGCCAGCTTCAAATCGTCTAAGTAAACAAAATACCATTCAAGAGCATCCCGAAATATCTAGATTTTACATCCCTAATTGATGATAGATATCACATTCGACTTTCTCTGAGAATGTCATTTCATCAACATGGGGAGATATCCAATTCTGTATAAAACTGGCATCTTTTACTAACTATTACGTTATATTCAAGCCTTTAATGTTCTTTGTACATACATATTATTGAATGAGAGAGAGAGAGAGAGAGAGAGAGAGAAACCTTGACACCATAGAAAAAGAAAGAAGAAGATGCAATATAATTACCTATCCGAGTCATATATTCCTTGGATGCTACATAACCAGAACAGACAATAGCATTGCAAGAGAGGGAAGGATGGACACTGTTCTCATGGGGTGATATGCGCATATTACTGGTCTTCTCACCGCTTTCAACAGATTCAGCCTTGGCTGAACCAACAATTTTCGAGCCACTATCTGCCTTACCTACAGACTGAGACATAAGATCTTGAGTATCACCGCGACGATCCACTCTATCCATTTCTTCGGGGACAAAGTCACCCATTTGCCCAGGATCTGGAGCATATTCACCAGTTTGACCTTGATTTTCAGTGACTTCAGCAATTGGTTCCACATCGCCAACAATGCTATCCGCTCTATGGACGGAAACATCAGTCCCATGGATCTCAGCTTCGTGACTAGCACCCATTCCGATGCTCCCTCCACTAATGCCAAAGCTAGGCCCGTCCCTCACATGGGCACTTCCAGTATCTGTATTCAATACCTCGTCACAATCATTTGTGCTGCTAACACCCATCTCACCAGCAATTCTTATTGCACCTGGACAAGTACTTTGCTCTGCTTGGTTACTGTAGTTCAACTCTGATGCGTCATTCACATCTGAATTTTTAAACAGCAATACAGAAGGGAATTGGACATCATCAAGACCTCCGGGATAATTTTCAACACTTTCCATTGAATCATTGTCTTCACTGTGACCAACTGTATCCATTGCAATAACAGAAGATACACGTGTTAGACCTCTAGTTGATGGAACACCAAAAGCTTGTTCATTTCGCAGGGAGTAAGGGTCAGTTATGTGAGCATCTGTTTCTATCTCGAAACCAAAAGAATGACTTGGACCAGCACCAGATGAATCTCTCCCATATGATGAATGGTAGGCTTCAAAAACATTAGAGTCACAGGCACGTTTTGAAGGGCCAGCTGAGTATAGTTTATAATCATCTACTTCATCACCATCCCGGTCAATGACAGTCCCTTCAATGCTATCTGCCGGTTGCATCACCAAATGTGGCCTGTCAACTGTGCTTCCAGCTTCATCTAAATTTCGCTTACGACTACTGGGACCTCTTGATTCATATGAAGCTGCACGGTCACCGATCCCACTGCTTGAAGGCTGACCAATAAATAGATCCCTTCCCATATTAGTGCCTTGGTATTGTTCAGTCATCGCTGTCATATGCAACTGCGTAGAGGATAATCCAACAGCCATCGTTAGATTTAAATCCACCCCAACATTTGACCTCTTCCCCTTATCTGTTGTTGCAGCTTCATCATTGTACTCAGTCTGTTCTTTTTCCATACCATCAGTAGCAACCCATCCGCCGATTCCACTTGCTGCGCTCACTCCACGTGTCAATGCCATTTTCTTGCTTGTTTCAGGAATATCAATGTTATTGGGAGCAAAACGAGCAGGACGAGCAACAGTCAGGAAGTCCCAGATTCTGACTGTGGCTCCACATAAGCTACAATCTAACAAAGGTGACCTAGATTTGGATTTAGACTCTGGACCTAGTACATTCTTCGCAGAACCCTTTTTTGTTGACGCGGAGAATGCCTTTTTGCTGGGGCCAGGATCTTGCAGATGACCAGAGTCCTTGGTAGGACCAATTGAGCATCCATCTCTAGCTGATTGAGCAGAATGTTCCTCGTAGTCCTGGACATTTGGAAGCCATCTTGGCTCCCATCCACACAGGCTTATCAGCTTCTGAGCCTAAAATGGAGAAAACAAAATGTGACGAAATCAGAATACTAATACAACATATTAATTAAAGCAATTCCTGCTTACAAGCATAAATGAGTACTCTAATATCTTACACAAGAGTATATATAGAAGGCTCCTTCTCTGGAATTTTCCGTTCCAGAGATATTCTCGGCCTTAAAGCCAGACTCCCCAATTGTGAATGAATGTGACTGAACCAGAAAGCGATCAATTTCGGGGCCTCTTGAAACCCGCATCTGCTCAATTGCAGACGTAGCCACAACCGGGAGAAAGAGAAACTGCAAGAGTCCATCACAGCGATCCTTATAACCCCCAATCAGGGCCGATGGTGGAGTAGGAGGAAACTGCACCAAGCTTTCAGCACAGCTGTTTCCTCGCCAAGGACAAGTGACTCTGTGCCCTCCATCTAGCTGTTTGGCAAAGTCTTTCCCAGCACTATCAGCTTCACCAAAGATAATTGAGAGATGGAAATATCAGCCATCAGTAAGCATGCAGTTCAATCTTAATGCTGCGGACAAGGCAAAGGGAAATACCAGTGTGATTGTTGCTACAGAATTGGTATTGCTAATGGTAATGTTTAAGTGCCAGAAACAATCATGCAAAGAATTATTCAAGCATGTCTTTCATTTAAGCTTGTTTTGGTGTGACAACTGACAAGTCATATCATGTCATTAGCCTATAGAAGCAAGTGACCTCACAAGAATTAAATCTTTCAAATAGCAAGATGTGGTAATTCAGAAAAAATATTATTGTTTTTGTTTTTTTTTTACAAGTATGATTGCTTTGAGCGAAGTGGCTATGAGTGCCACCATGAAGGTGCACATCTAGGGGTTGGATTCATCCGTCCCTCAAATTATAAAATATGGACTCAGCTAAAAATGAATCCAAAATTGGGTACAGGTACTTGCAGACAGTACACAAAACATTGCAACAATGCACTCTCCAACTTAATCAACAATTTAAGCAAAAAAATACTAATTACTCTAAATGAATACTCAAACTTATAGTAGCAATTGATGAAGAATTGAATTACATATTATAGTTATGAGGTTCTAATTGAAACAAGAGTTCTATATTACCTTTTTTTTTTTCTTTTTGTTAGGCATTATATTACTTCCCTACATGTATAGATACATGATATCCCATTTAAGATACTGCCACTCCTTAATTTCTTATTTACATAAATGTTTCCTTCAACATATGACCATTATTGATTTTATTAAATATGTGTGTGTTTGTGGTTTATTAAATATGGAGAAATAACTATATTCAGGTTTAAAATTACAACATAGGACTAGTAAGCCTGCTGACGGACTACTGCAGACTTTTGAAGCTTTATGCCATGGTGGCATCTAGTTGTATACTGTCCTCTGCTGGCATATAGATATATCTGTCATTTAAGGGTCTCTTCGGGTCAAAACGGTGAAGCCCTAAAGTGACAGATGAGTATTATATATTTTCATATGGAGGACGCTTCCAACTATCCTATAATGGAAGATTTTACAAAATTTAAGGAAGATGCTTTGGCAAGTCTTACAGTTGTAAGCCTTGTAGTTTTCTACCTTAAATACCAATGAAATTTCAACATCTGGGGATCTCTCATAATAGTTGTTCAATCAGATTTTTAAGGTAAGCTTACAAACTCATCAACAAATGATCAAGTAACCCCCCATTATATAAGTACACAAACCACCAGACATCTTTATTCTATAGTAAAATGGATGGAGACTTTCAAGTTCATGTGTGTAGGTGATACACATCCATCCTCCAACTGTATCCGTTCTCTCCCACCTAAAAGTCAGACATATCCAAGAAATCTCGTTGTGTCAGAACAAATCGCATATCAGTGTCGACACAGGAACTTTAGGCGCCATTGCTAAGCCCATATACGTAACATATCAGACGACCAGATTCACCGTTTTTGTAGCAGGAACGAAGTACCAAGATGGCAAGATCAAACAGTTAAACTGTCAAGTTATGAGAGCAATGAAAAAAATTCAAAAGAGTTATGAGGACTAGTTTCGAAAGGTTGGCCGGATATCCAAGGAAATATCGATGGCTCTGAAGAGATAACCAAGTTCCTATTTATCATTGAATTATTCAATAAAGATAGAGATATTGAATATGGGTGACATTTGACATGGTGGAGTAAAGCATATTTTCTGAATTTTTTTCTAATGAACAAATAGTCTAATAGTAATTCTATGTCAAAATAGTAAATTATGCATACTGAAACTAGAGTTAATATCATACCTAGTATTCAACTCGTATATAATTCAAGCAATGGCATTTTCTCTTGTAAGTAGTATCCAGTTCACATAATACAAATAGGCTATAATTAATGCAAGTACATGGTAATTGATGATGTTACACAGAACTATGTTCTTATTCCTTGGTATTCCAACCCAGTTTGGGTGGAACCGGTGGTCACTAATCCCATGCACAAAATGGCAAATCACGTTTATCAAGTAATTTGGGGGAGAGTCAAAGTGTCAAACCTATTTAAATTGATGTTGAGGCATTGCGAAATATACTAAAAAATTTATGTGCTATATATACTCATTATCACATACATTTTGCTCCCAAAAAACCATTATAAGGATTGACGTTTCTCATATACTCATCGTAGCATAAGTTTTGCTCCTTATAAACCGCATGGCTGTCATGCATGCATTTTGCTTGCAAAATTTCAATATAGATAGCTCTGAATACTATCCCATAGTTCCATTGAAAATTGCATCTACAATTACCTATATCTTTATTGATATCCCCATGCTAAGGTAGCCTCAAAGTACTATGCCAAGATGGCAATTGATTTTAAATGCCCTGAAATTTCCATAACATAAATTGTAACCCTGCAAATAACATTTCAGGATTGCATGATTATTAAACATGAAACCTCAATAACCAGAACAAAAAAGTGCTAAAAGGGTATTTCTTGATCTCCAATTATCCATGCATGGTTAGAAATCACTTAATAGACTGGATTAACAGCAAATTTCACCTTTCTCAGACAACCAGGAAGCTGATGAAATAAAATTCAGGTTTGCACCACATGACTCGCATTCAATTTTATCAACACCAACATTTATCCAGCCTCTTCTGGCACAAGCCAGTGAACTGGCAACCTGTGAGTAACATCACAGCAAATGAATTGAGGTTTAAATGCACAAATAGTTAGCTGATGAAATGATAAATACCTAAATATAGAATGTAGGAAAATATTTGGAGCAATAATAAATAAAAAGAAACAAAAGAACATATGGTGAAATCAAGCACTTATGATAAATGGCACCGGAATCCATTATGGGCTCTATAAACTGATTTTTAATTGAACATCTTAACTAACCAGAAAACGAGTAGTGTAACCATGTAGAACTCATGATTCAAAAGAGCATGGAATTTTCTCTCTCACGATTTCCATCAGACTCGGCAAATTACACAAATTTCATGGCCAAAAAATGAAGCCCAGTTTCTTCTCCTGTCGCTCTTGTATGATTGCTATTGATGTAAGCTACGTTTTCCCCAGGGGTATTTGGACTTCGTCTTGTTATTATAAGAGTTAAAGCTTTTTACCTCTATCTTCTTCGGACATTATTTTCATTTGTGTAATGAACCAACAAGAGTTTGAAAACCGGTAGATTGATATCTATAATCACTTAATCAGAAGACATGCATGTCATGGACATAAAATGCAAACAATTAACCAAAAACAAAGATTGCTTTCGAAGCTGAAGCACAAGAGCTTAAATGAGCAGTTCAATCCCATATGCAAAACACGAGGTGACAAAAATGATTCAACAGTCAACATATACCATTTAGCAAGTGTGTGAATGAGAAAAATTTTGGTGTGAGTGAACATGCTCAAGTAAACATGGTTGTGCTATTTTCATCCAAAAAATCATGAACCAGCAAGAGTCTATAAGCTGGTAGATTAACCAAATACAAAGATTGCTTCCGAAACTGAAGCACAAGGGCTTAAATGAGCAGTTCAATTCCATGTGCAAAACATGCGGTGACAAAAATGACTCAATAGTCGACATGTACCATTTAGCAAGTGTGTGGATAACTAAAATTTTGGTGTGAGTGAACATGCTCAGTAAACATGGTAGTGCTATTTTCATCCAAAAAATCATAAACTTCAAAAGATCAAGAATTCAGAGCCAAAGTCCCTGGTAGAGCACATTGAAGGAAACCGATAAAAGATGTTTTGGGAAAATAAAATTTCGATTGAACATCCATATGGACCATACAGGGAGAACCATGTAAGAACTGCAACATTAACTGGGTCATTCTCCCAGTGTACAGAGGTGGGATTCTTGGGGGATATGAACCCATATTTCGTGAAACTACGTGAATTTGCTGGGGGACGTGAAGCAAAACAGGCTGGGCAGATTTTCTGGCTACCAAAATGCAGTATGCAAATCAGTTGTCTTGGAATCTGGTAGACCCCTGGAGTAAAGACAGCTAGCCTAATTTGTGGCTCCACAAACAACAGGAGTTGGATCTAATTGTCCAACTGTGCAATATCCAACTGTATCAACCCGCCCGTTTGCCTTTTGGCGATCCAAACGGGTCATATAGGCTTCAGCAATCAGTTCTACATCAGAAAGACTGAAAAATAACTACATACATAGGTTTCAGTCCATTTATTTGTGCAAATACAAGTTATGGATTAAAGTTCAGCAATTAAATCCCATGCATGATCCGTCCATTAATGGAAATTAATTCAGGTGCAAACCTTGGGCTTTCCAACCCAATTTGCAGGCTTAAATGTAGAAAGACGCCTCAGTAAATCCCCCCTTTCCCATGGTCTACAAGAAGGACCAGAAGGTTGTGAGGAACCAAGAGCAGAACCACCAGCACTTGTGCTCAATGAAGTCCAGAGGTGCTGTGAACCAATGTGGGATAGAGAACCTGCTTTGGAACCCTGTCCATGACCCAACCAGTCTATACTGCCAACATTTGCCGGACCAGCAGGAGATGATGCCCCTGCGGAACTGATAGAAAGAAAGGTTATCAAGAAATAGTTAACACATGCAAAATTATTTGTACAACTTAAAAATGAAGAAATTTTCACAACTATGCTCCATCTTGCTCACGTGATAGCTAGAGCTCTTCCTTTCAACATAAATAGTCAAATTAAAAATTTGAACCTCCAATCTCCATTACGCTCGCAGTTTATGATGTTTCTACATGTTAACTACCATCTACTCCAAAAGCTTAAGCTGTTAGAGAATGTGTAACTTATATATATAAATCTGTCAGCATGCAACAGGGCAACACGTCCACAAACTCACAGAGAGATGTCCACCTTTAAACAAATATAGAGAAGCTACATGTGTAAACCTCATTTCTGCTGACAATTCAGCATGCCCGTAAACCTATTTCCCTGCTCTCAACAACTGTATTTTACTTATTTTTTATTTGACAAGTACAATAATTTTCTAGCATTTGACTCCATACCATTGACGGGAGATTCTAAATCCTGAGATGGGAATTCCTAGACATTCTTCCAAAATACTTCACCACATACGTGTAGAAAAGCTGGTTGGAAGATATCTAATGAAACCGTGGCTGGAATTGAGATCTTATTCAAAGAGAAAGATATAAAATATCTGAAGCTTTGTCCAATGCACATAACTATGACATAATCTTCATTCTTGCATATCTTTTTTAAGATTTGTACTTCTAATTTATTCCACAAGGAAAGAAATGGAACAGTATCATATAATATTGTCTTTGTATTAATTGAAAGATAATGTCAAAAGTTTATTAGAGTTGACCACAAGTCCATTAAACTTGTGCACAAGGTGAAATAAGTAATTATACAAAGAAAAATAGCTTCCATGAGGAAGTAGAAAACCTAGAACACTTTATCATCCTATAACCTCAACTTAAGTAAGACCCAATAACCTCACAACTTAACTACCTTTCAAATAAAAAATAACCTCAACTTAAGAAAGTTCTCATTCAAGAACCATAATTTTAGCACACACAGAAAGGAAAAAGCACATAGTAAACTGCATCTCTATATCATTGATTGATTAATCGAGCTGCTCTTTCTGTTGATAAGCGCAACAGAAAGGAACTATCTTTGACCCAATTCCGACTCGAAAGCTCAGACACCCTGAACAGATGCCACTCAGGCTACTGCTCAGTGATGATTTTCATTCCTTCCCTTTAATTTCCAAAACAAACAAACAAACAAAAAAATTGAAAGAAAAAAACGCAGTTTTGTATGCGAACTGGAGATACCCCACAGCCTCTTTTACCCTCTAATTAATAGAACAACTAAGATAATGGAAAAGTTCAAACTTCAGTCTTGTGTAAGTTTGGACCATTTTGATAAGAATCCTAAACTCCTCGGTTTTAAACCATAAACCCCAATTCTTTCTCTTAGGTTTCCTGGGCAACCAAACGGAGCACAATATTCACTGTTCAGCTATAGAAATCAAGCCACGTGGACAACCGTTTGAAAAGCAAGCAAAAACCCAATTCAATGTCACTCATCACTATTTGATATGCATATGGTGTTGCCCTGGGGCGGATTGAATAGAAACAAGCATTTGAAAAGCAAGCAAAAGCCCAATTCAATGTCATTAATCACTGTATCTCTTTAAAATATGTATATGTAGGCTTGCCCTAGGGCGGATTGAATAGAAACAATCGTTTGAAAAGCAAGCAAAACCCCAATTCAATGTCACTATATATCTTAAATATATATATATATATAAGCTTGCCCTGGGACGGATTGAATAGAAACAACCGTTTGAAAAGCAAGCAAACCCCCAAATCAATGTCACTATATATATATATAGGTTTGCCCTAGGGCGGATTGAATAGAAACAACCGGAGGAGAAAGGAGAGCAGATGGTACCTAGCAGCAGGGGTCGGAGTAGATGATTTTGGGGCCAATAACGGATCTCCCAGAGAGCTTACAACCTCCTCCCTCATGTTTCTCTCACTAGTCTCTCTATCTCTCTCTTGTCGTCGGGCTCACTGATCTCCCTGTTCTGTTGTGTTAGGCAACAGGCACCCTTTCTTTTTTTATTTTTCTGATAGATTTATAAAGGGAAAATTTAAAAATTCACCAATTAATTAATTTTATATATTTTAAAAAATACTAAGTTATTCAAACTAACAGATTTACTGATTTAACTCCTAACTTTTTGAAACTAACTATAAAATTATACTAAAACACTATTTATATTTTTTATGATCCAAAATAACCTTCAGTTTTATCTTTCTCATTCTAGCCTTTACACCGATCTTGTTATTTTAGGGCATGATTTTTTCTCTTCTCTCTTGATACTCTCTTTGCTGATTTAAAGGCGATGCGTTAATTTCACCATAACCGATTCATTCAAGTTCTAGATTTGTTGGTTTTGATAAAACACAACACCTATCAAAAGGTATTGTGTTACTTTTTTTCGACCCAAAGACATTTTGCTTTGATGTGGTCACTGTAAGTAATGGTTTAATTTAGTAATGATGCATGTGAAATTGGTTGTGCTTTGATTCTTTAACGAATGTGTAAGTGAACGCCTGATTTGGGGGGGGGGGGGGGGGGGGGGGGAGTGCAGCCTTAAAAGTTCAGATCTTTTGGACCATGTGAGTGCGCCTTAAAAGTTCAGATTTTTCATGCTTATGATAGGAACTGGAGATGACTGATGAGATTCCAAAACATTATTTGCTCAATGTAGTTGTCGGGTAGAGAATGGTGCTGAAAGATAAGGGAGATGAAACAAAAAATTGAAAAAAAGAATAATAATTGGGTTTTCTCCGGTTAAACACTAGTTTTCTTTTTTATTATTTTTTTTCATTACCTCGGGATTGGATGAAGGCAACCATTTTATGATCAAATTTTAGTTTTTTTTTTTTTTTTTTATCCAGTTCGTCGATCCATACCTCTTTAACAATACTTCTTTAAATGTCAAATATTTAATGAAAATCTCATTTTATTAATTTCCATCTTAAATTCATGTTCTTTTATTGTTCACAAAAATTGTGTTTCCTTCTAATAGGAAAAAATATAAACCTATCCTACCCTCGATACGATTGATTAGATTTCATTATCAAGGATAATGAAATCAAATCTGACGTGATTCAACAAGTAAGAATAATCCTACTATAATCAGAGGAGGTCAAAAGGATTAAATCATATCCTAACAAATCTGGTAATAAATCTCATATGATTTCGCACAAGCGGAAGATAAGGTCAACCATCGATATCAGCGAAATGATTTTGATTCCAATCGACAGCCATAAATAGGGATCGTGATTCCCACAGACGGCGCCAACTGTTGAGGCTGATGAAATCATGTGCCGAGCTTTCCCCACTACACTTAAGGGATCAGCGAGAGTTTGGTTCAACAAGTTGAAGCCAGGAACCATCAACACCTTCGAAAAATTGAGTAAGCAGTTTGTGAGCCACTTCATTGCAGGTCAGAGGCATAGAGACCGGCTACCTACCTGTTTACCGTGGAGCAACAAAAGGAAGAGTCAATTCGGGAATACATCACCCGATTCAACGCAGAGATGTTGCAGGTAGAAGAAGCGGACGACAAGGTAGCTTTGACCGCTTTCATATGAGGACTCCAAACCTCCAGATTCTTGTTCTCCTTATCAAAAGAACCTGTCACCAGCATGATAGAGGTGCTAGTCAGAGCGCAAAAACACATCAACGCTAAAGACATCATGAGTACACGGAAAGAAGGAGAGGACAAGAAAAGGCCAGCCCCTCTCGCCAGGGATGAAAAAAATACCAAATATAAGAAATCGTTCTTCAGTCAGAGTGACAGCACATATCATGAGAATGACTCAGATAAGTATACCGACTAGAAATTGTCTCGCGGCTGGAATTAGCCTTATCAAGTCATTCACAATAAAGACTGGGGGCATCTTAGTTAATCATTTTAAATAGAGGGTAGCTCCATCACGTGTTATTTTGTTTTTAATAATGATGGTCTTTAATAAAATTCCTTTTAGTTTATACGTGCAGTATCCCCGTACTATAAGGGATAGTAAATGAGTGTCCTGTATTACAAGGATCCGGGCTGAATGAATCCCGTAATTCGTATCCCCGTACTATAAGGGGATAGTAAATGAGTGTCCTGTATTACAAGGACCCGGGCTGAATGAATCCCGTAATCCGTATCCCCGTATTAAAAGGGGATAATAAATGAGTGTCCTGTATTACAAAGACCCGAGCTGAATGAATCCCGTAATCCGTATCCCCGTACTATAAGGGAATAGTAAATGAGTGTCCTGTATTACAAGGACCCGGGTTGAATGAATCCTGTCATCTATATCCCTGGACTATAGGGGATAAGTATCTTGTATTATCAGGACCCGGGTTGAATGAATCCCGTAATCCATATCCTGTAATATAAGGATAATAAATGAATGTCCTGTACTACAAGGACCTGGGTTGGATGAATCCCATAATTAATATCCCCTTACAATAAGGGATAGTAAATAAAAATCATTTATTAAAGAGGTGAGCTGAGTAAAACTCGTAAAGTTCAATTCCCTTACTAAAGGGACGAAACTCGTATAATTTATTCCCTTATAAAAGGAAGAGTACTATTCCCTCGGGTGCAAAAATAAATAAATAAATAAACTATTCAGGAACAGTACCCGCGGGTGAAAAAAAAAAAACCATGAGTTACTATTCACATGAATAGTGCCCGCAGGGGTACTGTTCACCGGGGTTGAAAAAAAAAATTATTATTATTACTATTCATGAACAGTACCCGAGGGTACTGTTCCCTCGGGTGCCAAAAAAAAAAAACTATTCAGGAACAGTACCCCGTGCAACAAAAAAAAAAAAAAAAAACACCCTTAGTTACTATTCACATGAATAGTGCCCGCGGGAATAGTACCTGCGGGTACTGTTCACAGGGGTATTAAAAAAATAAAAAAAAATTTCCCTAAGTTACTATTTACGTGAATAGTACCCACGGGAATAGTACCTGCGGGTACTATTCACCGGGGTTGGAAAAAAAAGAAAAAGAAAAAGAAAAAGTGTTATTATTATTTATTACATTCCCAAAGCTAGGCGTGCAAGCTTGGGAATAGGGGGCAACTGATAGGGAAAAATATAAACCTACCCTACCCTCGATAAGATTGATTAGATTTCATTATCAAGGATAATGAAATCAAATCTGACGTGGTTCAACAAATAAGAATAATCCTACTATAACTAGAGGAGGTCAAAAGGATTAAATCATATCCCTACAAATCTGGTAATAAATCTCCTATGATTTCGCACAAGTGGAAGATAAGGTCAACCATCGATACCAGTGGAACGATTTTGATTCCAATCAACAGCCATAAATAGGGCATCAAGCCATTAAAGAAGGTACGACGTGAAAACTATTATTAATACCTACCTTCTTTTTAGACCTCCGTCACTAATTTGATCGTCGGAGAGCTCTTGGCAGGCACCACACCGGTGCCGTCAAGGTTCATCGATCTTCTCCTCTCTTCCTTGCAGGAAAACGGTATCGTATCGGACTGCGCGAATTTCAGCCTCAACACCTTCAAACCTCACTCAATCAAGAAGCAATTCTTTCGCTGCATTGGCATGTATGTTACCCTTCATTCACTAGGAGGGTATTTTAAATCATAAATAATGTAAATAGTATTTTAGTATAGTTTTGTAATTAGTTTTAAAAAGTTAGTAGTCAAACATATTAGTTTGAAAAAGTTAGTATTTTTTTAAATATACAAAATTAAATGGTGAAGTTTTAAATTTTTCCATTTATAAATGAGCATTTAAGCATATTCTCAATAACTCTTGTACATGTGTAATTAATACATTCGGTAGCCAAAAAAACACGATGAAACCTAAAATTTAGCATATGTGCGTGTTAAATTATTTGAAATATTTGTACATGTATTAAAAAGCTAACAGTCATATTAGACAAAGATCTCGTTTTTGAATTGAACTCCTGACTTGAATGGTGAATGGTGCGTATGTTATGAGATCGATACACTTGCTTTAAGAAAATAATAATAATTTATTATTTGATATAATAAAAATAATTTAATGCATCAATTCTTTTATGTCATTGTCAATATATATATTATGTTATAATATACATAATATTTGATAACAATAATAAAAAATTAAAATGCAAAAAGTCATACTTTATGTTTTATTTTTCAATGAATACAAGTACGAATGGTAATTTGCCCCTGCGGGACGAGTACTCGGTCTGTCTCGTTTATAGCAATTTCGGGAATCGGTTAACTTAATTGGATGGGAATGATTTTTATTAAAAAGTAAATGGTGGAAGTTTGGAAGTAAACAAGATGGGGACAGGGTAGTAGGGTATCCCGTTTAGTCAGCAGAGTCAGGACAGGGTAACTTAAATGGGGAGGGGAAGAGTACACTCGCCTAAAACCACACCCGTTGCCATCTATAAATATAAGTCGAAAAATTTATATATTTTTATTTTAAATTCTTAAAGATATATTGCTTAAAATTTTATACCTAAAATGAGTATTTTAAGAAATTAATATTAGGTTTTAACTAAATAAATTAAAACTAAGGAGGGGATTGTACACACAAATTTTGTAAGTCTGCAATAGAGACAAAATATGGAGCAAATAATATAATTTTATTAATTTGAAATATTAAGGTACAATCCTCTGTAATATTCTTTATAAAAGAAGGAATTGGTCATCTGATTAAATCTCCTTTTTTTGTTGGTTGGTTGGATCCAAGGGTTGTACGAGCTTGATCTTGAATCACCGTAGAATTTGGATGACGAACGGCACGACTTTGGATGTGCTTATTGTTGATTACCGTGGAATTTGATGAAGACCAGCACGATTTGATATGCTTGGTGTTCTTCGCCTTTGGGTTTGGTTGTTGGGGATGAGAGTTTTTGTATTTCTCTCTGGAATTCTGGATTTCTGAATTCTGAATTTGTGTACCATGTCTTCTTCCTCCAGGCCTCTATTTATAGGCTTCTTGGATTAATGGGATGATGACACGTGTCATCTCTTGATAAGGATAAAATCATACCCTGTTATATTA